GCCCAGTGGGTGTGTGTCTGGCGTGGGTGTGTGTGCTTGCGCGTGACTGGAGCAGGGCTGTGTCTTTGGGGGCGGGCAGGGGTGCCTGGGGAGCCTGTGTGCTTGGGGAGGGGTGGGGGCTCAGCCTCCTTCCTTTTATCGGTTTCCACATTCCAGAGGCAGCCAGATCGCTTTCCCTCAGCTCCTGGCCCCAGGCCTCCCCGCTTTTCCTCATTCCAGCCCCCACCAAGAAGGCTGGAGGAGGCTCCCTCTGGCCACCTTGGTTTTGGGGGGTGGGGGGTAGGCAAGAGGCCAGCTCTTCTCCAAGGTTGGGGACAGCCCCCACCAGACTCCTCCTGGGGAATGCAATAAGGCTCTCACATTCCTTAGAGGCTGCCGGAGAGATTTAATTAAGGAGGGAGCTGGCGTGCACTGGGAAGGGGCTGGGGCAGCCACTGGGGCCCCTGCTGGCCCTAGGCCCTGAGCCCAGCTGGGCAGTGAGAGCCGTGTGGGGACAGGGTTGTGGCTCAGTGATGAGGGGTCTGCTCTGCCTCCCCAAATCAGTCCCACCTGCCTGTTGATCATGGACCCCAGTAAGGGCTGAGAACTCTGGGTGACTGGTGGGGATGAGGCACCCTGCTGGGGCCACTCCTTTCTCAGATCCCCGGCCCAAGAGGCTTGGGGCTGGCAGCCTCCCTTGGTGACTAAGGTGTTCTTCTGGCAAGTTCACGGTTAATTGTAGGGCTAGGGCCTTACTAGATGGGTGCTTGGCCCTGGGTGGGGACAGGGCCCAGCTCTGATGGCATCACACCTGCCGCCTGCCAACAGTGGCATCTGGATTGGCCCATTTCTAGTTGGGCTGCAGCCACCAAATAGCTCCCAGGGCTACAGGTGTCCTCCCCCGACAGGTGGCACCTCTCCTAACTGAGATGGCACGTCCTGCCGCCCTGAGGGCTCACTTGAGCTGAGGACTGGCCTTAGTCACTGGTCTCCCTGCCCTGGGCTGACAGGTCTGGCAGCTGCCAGGTCACCCACAGTGCCACTGAAGGCATCCACCTGGGGCCAGGCCAGCCCCTGGGTGGAGGGAGGAGGAGGAGGGCCCAACTCCTGCTCCCAGCCCTCCCAGCTGGTCCACACCTGCCCCAGAGTCCAGAGCCCCCTCCCTGGACAGGGAGATGAGCTGACACCCTAACTGTCCCATTTGCAACCCTCTGCCCTGGTGTCCTGAACCCCGGCTGGGCAAAGCACAGCACTCACCCAAGGAGCTTTTCCAAATACAACTCTACCTGGGCCTCACCCCCGGAAATTCTTACTGAATTGGTCTGGGGGTGGGGCCCAGGGCATCAGTATTTTTTAAAAGCTTCCTGGGTGATTCCGATGTGCAGCTCTGGTTGAGCCGCCCCTGGGGTCACAGGCAGAGATGGATGTCCAGGGAGGGAAGGGAGCTTGGCTGAGTGGGTGAGGTTGCAAAGTGAGTGTGTGTCAGACTGACTCTTGGCTGGGACATTATCTGTGGAGTGGACAGAGCCAGCTTGGGGTGGTGGATGGAGCAAGACCAAGAGGCTGCGACCACTGGGGACCCCCAGCTTAATCACTAGCCAGGGCACAGCCCCCCCACGTGGAGAGAAGACATACCCAGAGCAGCTTCCAAGGAACCTGAGGCCCAGCCCCCTCTGCCCCTTCTGTGAAGGCCCAGGACAGAGACCCCTGACCTCTCTGCCCTGCTGGGCCAGGGACTACTATGTCCCAGGGAAGGGAGATGGGGCAGACCCAGCCCAGGCCCTGAGCCTCCTCGGACACGTCAGCAAAACCGGAGCCAGCCGTCCTGGCCGCCGGCACAGTCCCGCCTGCCTGGAGGGGGTTGGCAGACTCCCGGGGCTGGGCCTCTGCCAGGCCTGGCTGGCCACGCAGAGCAGAGTGCAGAGCCCAGGCGAGCCAGCCCTGGGAGCCAGGCCCCGAGTGCAGGTCATCCCTGCAGCGCCCGCGTCTGCACAGGGGCTGTGCGGGCCTCTGGCTGTCTGTCCGAGCACATCCCCCTCCCGCCGGGCACACAGCCTTCTCGAGCAGCACTGAGAGGCACCAGTCCCAGGTCTGGCGTGGACACCCGGGTCCTGCCCCCGCCACGCCACCCACTGGCCCATCCCTGCCTGACCCCAGGTGTGCGTGTGAGTGGGTGCCCACAAGTGTGTCACACACTCAGGGGTGGGTGGGTCCTCCTGAGAGTTGACATTGCAAATACCCACAGTCTTCCTTACTCATAGGGCTCCTCCCTGAGGTCACATGCTGAAGGGGGCGCACCAAGGGACAGCTCACCCCCTCCATACCCGCCCACCCCAACTTCCCCACCATCTGAAGGCAGAGGACAGCCTCAGTGCAGAGGCCTTGACCCTGGGCCAGGGGCCTCTTGTCCATATGAGACTGGTGCAAAGCCCCTCCTACTGTGGCATCCTCACCCTCAAGGAAGGCAGGGCTCTGGATTTATGGGTGACACTCCAGCAGCTACTGTTTACTGACCACTTAGCATATGCTCCGAGTACAAACCAAACCACCCTGAGAAGCAGCTGAGATGATTAGCCCCCACTGCACAAACGAGAGCCGGCAGGGGGTGGCGGGCAGGCTGTGAACCCTGGTGGTCGGACCCTGACACCTTGTCCCAGCTACTAACCCCGGAGGCAGCAAGGCCTGACTGTAGCGCCTGCGTCCTGCCTCTCTCCACCGCACTAGGGGCTGAGGAGCCCAGGCGGAGGAGGAGGAGGCCCACTCTTGCTCTTGCCCTCTGCCCCCAGTGCCCCTGAATCCCAGGGCTGCCTCCAGAACTCTCCCTACACCCTTGGCAGTGAAAAAGGTCTCACCCCCCTGCCCTGGCTTAACAGATCAGAGTATCAAAGCCAGGCCCCTGGTCCTGCCGGAGCTGCTGATCGTGGGCAGCGCAGGGCACAGCAACCCCAGCAACGACCCCCGATGAGACCCCACACCCCCACCCTGCACACACACCAAGCATGCCCAGACCCAGACAGGCGGGATGTCTCCCAGGACTTCTCAAAAGAACTTCCCCATTTAAAAACAAACAGAACAACAAAACACCACAACTCCAGAGGGAGAGGGGGTTAGGGCTGCTTATGCCAACTCTGCAGGTGAGAAACTGAGGCCCAGTTGAGAGAAGACTTGGGAGTCTATTTAGGGGCTGAACTCAGACCTCTGTCTCCTTCTGCCCAGTCACCTGTCCCCTCGTCGGTCAGCCTCTGCCCTCTCTGCGTTCCTTCCCGGGGCTGTCTGATCTCTTGCTGCCAGGACCCGTGGCAGAGCCCCCCTGAGCTGCCTGCCCATGGCTGTAAACTCTGGGGTTTTCCAAAGCCCCAGTGCTGCCTCCCTGCTTCCTAAGCTTGCTGGGTGGGGTAGAGTTGGCACTCAGGTGGAAAAGCTCATCCCTGCATCTCGGGGGGTGGGAAGCAGGCTCGCTGCTGCCTGCCCGGGTCTCCTCAGCCCAGGACCCCCGTCCCTCTCCCCACCCACTCAGATGTGCATTCCTCAGTTTCCTACCGGTCAGCCAGCTTGCCGGCAGACAGACCCACAGGGTCCCTCGCCACTTCTAGTTACTTTGCTGATTAAAGGCCCAACAGATCATGAAGCCCGGAGTCGTTCCCCTCCTCAGTGCAGTGGTCAGCATCCCCCAGCACGTGCCCCAGGCCCCCGTGGGCCAGCCTGGACACCTGGCCTATCATGCAAAGTGCACCACATGCATCTTCCTCCTGCAGCCCTGAAATGTCCCAGATGCACAGATGAAGAAACCGAGGTGCTGAGAGTAAAGCGGCTGCCTGCAGCCTCACAGCTTGGACACCTCCAAGCCCAGGCTGCCTGCCTGGAGTGAGAGCCCTTAACTGTGACCTTCTGTCAGGCCCAGGAGGAGCTGAGGCCACAGTGGAGGCCAGGCTGGCCACGTGCAGGGTCCCCTCCCACCCTGAAGCCTGGCTGCTCCTCTCTTGACCCCAGTCTGGCCCCACTGGGAGAGCTGATTCAAGGGGAGGTGGCCTCACCCCCCACGTGGATGGGGGTGGGCGGGGGTCACTCAGCCCACATCTGGAGGCCAGGCCACAACCCTGTCCTCTGAGTCAGTGAGGGTGGAGCAGGTCCCATAGGGGAGAAGAGGGGGGTGGGCCCAAAGGCCTAAGGTCATCAGACCCCACGGGGTGGTGCTAGCAGGGCCAGGGACACACAAGTTTGGTATCCCAGGGTTTGGGATACCAGCTTCATCTGATGCCCGAGGGAAGGCCCTGCCCAGCTGTTCACTTAGCAGAGATGAGCTAAGTGGGCTCTGGAGACCGCTGGAGCAAAGGCAGACAGGGTCTGGCCTAGAGACGTAAGAGTGAGGCCCGAGGCACCCCCCCACACACACTCCCACTGGCCTCTGAAGGGCGTTCATTACTAGTGGGCGAGGGGTCGGAGGCTCCTGGGGGAGACTACCCCAGCTAAGGGATGCGGCAGGTGGGCAGGGCCTGCAGGGACCCTCTCACCTCTGGTTCTTGTTGGGAACCTGGGTGACAAGGCCTCCTCCCTTCGCCTTTGGCTGGCCCCAGACCTCAGTGGCCACTTCACCAGAGACTTGTCTAATCTGTCCTGGACCACCTGCCCCTCCTCCTTACATTCCAGGAGCCCATAAATGGGTCCCTCCCCCAGCCTGGGGCAGAAGCAGGCTGGGTGGGGGGTCGTGTTACCTAGGCTGGCCAGTGTGGGGGAAGGGGAAGCTGGGCTCCAGCACAAAAGGCCCTTGTGCAGGCAGGTGCCGGAAGGGGGAGGGGTGTTGCCGGCCACTGCGCAGGACACCTCCTAGGAACAGGCGGGCACCCCACCCGAGGGCTGCTCCTGGGTATGGCTCTCAGGAGCCACAGGGGAGAGCCGTGGACCCCTGCCGTCTCAGCAGGGCCAGCTGAGAGCCGGAGCCCAGGGTGGCTGGCGGGTCCCCCAACCCTGGTGCATCTGGAGGCCATTGACCTCATCACAGGCTGCAGGATCTGGGCTCCAACTCAGACTTGCTGGCACTGCAGTGGGCACCTCCACAGCCCCATTTTCTCCTGTCACCTGGGAGTGATGAGAATAGTTTCCTCCGGAAGTGGCTGCTGGGGGGACAGAGGTGACTGTAAATGTGTAGTGGGTGCTGGCATGTGGGAAGGACTTGGCGCTTTGCTGCTCCTGTCTCGGCACCCAGCCCAGGGCAGACCCAGGAAATACGAGATGAAAGAATCTGCAGAGCTTTTCCAGGCCTGGCACTGCCCCTAGGACCACCATGCAACCAGGGTCTTGTCACCTGAGCCCTGGGGACCCTCTCACCTCTAGCTCTGCCATCAGCCTCAGAGGCAGGGGACCTGAAAGGAGGGTTCCTGCCTCCCTGATCCACACCCCCCAATAGGGGGACACCTGCCATGGCTGAAGCTGGTCTCTGCCCCCGCGGCCCCCGTCGTGGGCAGGTCTGACTTCACAAGTGGAAAAACACCGGTCCCATAGTTTCCAAGTGAAGTCTTCCTGCTGTGGTCTCTCCTCCTTTGGAGGAGGGAGGGCCATGGAGCGTGGCGGCTGGGGCCGGCGGCCGGGGCAGCCAGCTTCTCTGCTTACGCGCCTGGCCGCCTGTCTCTCCCAGACGCTACAGGGAGGGGCTGCCACCCCAGGATCCGCAGTTCTCCCTCCTTCCCTTCCACCGTGCCAGGGGATGGTGGAGGGACCCGCCACAGAGGCAGAGGCAGGAGGGCCTGGAGTTCTGGAGGAGGGAGCACTTGCTGGGCATTAGCCCGCTGAATGCTCGTGACAGCTGACATCATATGGATAAAGTCACATAGTAAGAGAGTGACGGGGCTGGGTCAGGAGCTGGGCGGGTGCTATGGGGTGCTGACTGGTACCTACTGGGCTCTCTTGCACTTGGTGGGGGAAATGATGAATTCCATCTGGGCCCTTTGACCCACAGTCTCATCTTGGCCTCCTCTCTGCCCCCAGGGACAGAAGATGCCCTCCAGGATCCCCCTGCCACCACCGTCCCTGCTGCTGCTGCTTCTGCTGGCCCTGGAACCCAGGGTACGGGGCTGCCCTTACGGTTGCCAGTGCAGCCAGCCACAGACAGTCTTCTGCACTGCCCGCCAAGGGACCACGGTGCCCCGAGACGTGCCACCCGACACAGTGGGCCTGTACGTCTTCGAGAACGGCATCACTACGCTTGACGCGGGCAGCTTTGCCAGCCTGCCGAGCCTGCAGCTCCTAGACCTGTCACAGAACCAGATCACCAGCCTGCCTGGTGGGGTCTTCCAGCCACTCGCCAATCTCAGTAACTTGGACCTGACCGCCAACAGGCTGCGTGAGATCACCAACGAGACCTTCCGTGGCCTGCGACGCCTCGAGCGCCTCTACCTGGGCAAGAACCGCATCCGCCACATCCAGCCCGGTGCCTTCGACGCACTTGACCACCTCCTGGAGCTCAAGCTGCAGGACAACGAGCTGCGGGCGCTGTCCCCACTGCGCCTGCCCCGCCTGCTGCTGCTAGACCTCAGTCGCAACAGCCTCCCGGCCCTGGAGCCTGGCGTCCTGGAGACCGCCAACGTGGAGGCTTTGCGGCTGGCCGGCCTGGGGCTGCAACAGCTGGACGAGGGGCTCTTCAGCAGCCTGCGCAACCTCCATGACCTGGACGTGTCCGACAACCAGCTGGAACAGGTGCCGCCCGTGATCCGAGGCCTGCGGGGCCTGACGCGCCTGCGGCTGGCCGGCAACACCCGCATTGCCCAGCTGCGGCCCGACGACCTGGCCGGCCTGGCCACTCTGCAGGAGCTGGACCTGAGCAACCTGAGCCTGCAGGCCCTGCCAAGCGACCTCTCCGGCCTCTTCCCACGCCTGCGGCTCCTGGCAGCTGCCCGCAACCCCTTCAACTGTGTGTGCCCCTTGAGCTGGTTTGGCCCCTGGGTGCGCGAAAGCCATGTTACGCTGGCCAGCCCTGAGGAGACGCGCTGCCACTTCCCGCCTAAGAACGCTGGCCGGCTGCTCCTGGAGCTCGACTATGCTGACTTCGGATGCCCGGCCACCACCACCACGGCCACAGCGCCCACCACGAGGCCTGCAGTGTGGCAGCCCACCCCCTCACCGTCTAGTTTGGCTCCCACCTGGCCCAGCCTCACGGAGCCAGCCACTGAGGCCCCCAGCCCGCCATCCACTGCGCCACCAACTGTGGCACCTGTCCCCCAGCCCCAGGACTGCCCTCCGTCCACCTGCCTCAACGGGGGCACCTGCCACCTGGGGGTGCGGCACCACCTGGAGTGCCTGTGCCCCAAGGGCTTCACAGGCCTGTACTGCGAGAACCAGGTAGAGCAGGGGACGCGGCCCAGTCCCACGCCGGCCACCCCAAGGCCACCTCGGCCCCTACCCCTCGGCATCGAGCCAGTGAGCCCCACCTCCCTGCGTGTGGGGCTGCAGCGCTACCTGCAGGGCAGCACCGTGCAGCTCAGGAGCCTCCGTCTGACCTACAGGAACCTGTCGGGCCCTGACAAGCGGCTGGTGACACTGGGGCTGCCCGCCTCACTTGCAGAGTACACTGTCACCCAGCTGCAGCCCAACGCCACCTACTCCATCTGCGTCATGCTCCTGGGACCCGGGCGGGTGCCCGAGGGTGAGGAGGCCTGCGGGGAGGCCCGCACACCCCCAGCCGTCCGCTCCAATCACGCCCCAGTCACCCAGGCCCGTGAGGGCAACCTGCCACTCCTCATCGCACCTGCCCTGGCCGCCGTGCTCCTGGCTGCCCTGGCTGCGGCAGGAGCGGCCTACTGTGTGCGGCGGGGGCGGGCTGTGGCAGCAGCGGCTCAGGACAAAGGGCAGGTGGGGCCAGGGGCTGGGCCCCTGGAGCTGGAGGGAGTGAAGGCCCCCTTGGAGCCAGGCCCAAAGGCACCTGAGGGTGGCGGGGAGGCCCTGCCCAGCGGGCCTGAGTGCGAGGTGCCGCTCATGGGCTATCCAGGGCCCGGCCTCCAGGGTCCCCTCCACGCCAAGCCCTACATCTAAGCCTGGGAGAGACACGCAGCCTGGGGGCGGGGCTCTCACCAGGGAGCCGGCCAGCACCCTCCTGCTGCCACCACAAGGAAGTTCTCAGTCCCTCCAGTGGGACACATGCAGGCTGAGGCTGTGTGACAACCAGTCCCTGCCCCTCTCTGGACCTCAGCCTCATCTGTGAGATGCTGGGACCCAGGAATGCCTGCAAGGACGGCGTCTGCCCAGCCCTCTGCAACGTGCCATCCCTGGGGCAGGCGCGGCGGGCCCTGCCGTGTGCTGGTAACACAGGCCAGGGCCCTGCTAGGCTCCCTCGGCCCAAGGGGACTCTGGGGCCAGTGAAGGAAGCCCCAGAGGGAGAGCAGCGGGGATGGGATGGGGGACAGGCTGTGTGGCTGAAGCCTCAGTCCCAGGAAGCAAAGGAAGAAAAAGAAACTGGAAAAGAAGATGCTTTAGGAGTGAGCTTTGCTTTTGTTGTTTTGTTTTTAAAGGTATATTTATAAGAAATCCCTTCCCATTTATTCTGGGAAAGTGTTTTTTAAACTCAGAGACAAGGACTTTGGTTTTTGTAAGACAAACGATGATATGAAGGCCTTTTGTAAGAAAAATAAAAAATACAATGAAATGAATACATTCCTCAGGCTCAGCCCCAGGGCACAGGGCTGGAGGGGCCGTGGAGGGACAGCCTGGCTGTGGGCACGCTGGTGGCCTGGCCCCTGCCCAGCATCCCCTTGGCTCAGGGGCTGCTATTCAGGGCTGTGCCCAGGAGGGCGGCCTTGCCAGGTGTCCTGACCCGGGTGGTGTCCACCCCAGCCCGATGGGCCCAGGCAGGACAGGGCTGCCTGCAGTCTCCCCATCCAGGCCCAGCCTCCTGCCAGCAGGTGCTGCGGTGCCTGCATGTGAGGCTGGCCTAACAGGGTCCCCAGGGAGGTCAGACCCTCCTCAGGGGGTTCTGACAGGCAAGTCATTGCCTGCCTTCCTCTAGGGAGGGGCACTTTGAGCTGTCTCATTCCAGGCCTCATGGATGGTCCAGGGACCAAGCAGCCTCTAGAACCCTCCTGCAGGGTGGCCCCCGCTGTAGAGAGAGTGGTGGCGGGAGAGGAAGCACAGATTGTCAAAGGCAAGAACCCTACCTGATGGGTAGGTGGCCAGGGCAGGCGCAGGGACAGACTGGAGGGCTGAGGCTGGCTTGCAGATGGTGCCAGGCTTGGTGGCCTCAGGATACCCCCTCACTCCCTACACTAGGGATGTGCCCAGGCTTTCCGGAAACCCCAGAAATGGGAATGTTTTCCAGGAAGGCTGCAGGCAGGCCGAGGTGGGAGGATGGAGCTCAGGGGCTATGAGGGCCACACAGCACCTTTTCCTGTTACCCTCAGTGGGGTGGCCTGGGAAGGATGAGCCAGCACCTTGCTCATGGCAAGTGGGGACAGGACCCCAACATCTGCTTGCGGGCCCAAGATGAGGTTGCCAGCGAGCGATGAGACGGTTGTGGAGAGGCCCAGCAAACGCCAGAGCAAGCTTCCCGGAGGCCCCATGCCAATGTCCTTCCATGGGTCACGGCCCGGCCGCCGGCTTCAGCCCTGGCGGGAAGGAGGCAGCCCAGCCAGGCCTGGGGAGCGGGCCCTGCGGCTCGGGGTGTTGATGTCAGCGCCGAGTCAGGCGCAGCCACGCGAGGCTCTGGATTCAATTAGCGGCTGCTGAGGGCTCTGGCATGAGGAGGGAGGAGGCGGGCAGTGGGTCCTGGCGGGCAGTGGGCCTGGGTGGGGCCCCTTCCTCCTGAGGCGGTGGCCCAGGTGGATTTCCTGTAGGCCTGGGTCCCATTAGGGGAGCGGTCAGTGAGCCCTGCCCCCCTCAGCAGCCTCCTCAAAGGGGCCTTTGTGGGCCTGTGGGCCTCGGCTGGACACAGGGCTGCTGAGTAAATGTTTTCACTGCAAAGCAAACCTGGTCTAGTGGGACGGTGGGGCAGGGGGTGGGTGGCAGGACCCAAAGAAAGGGCTGAGGCAAGGTATTTGGAGTGTCCTATCAGAGCAGTGGCTGGGGGAGGGAGAGCCCGGGCCAAAGGGGGACCAGGCCAAAGTGCAGGCCCCACCCAGGACAATCCCACGACTGCGGGCCAAGGACCAGGGTCGGATGTGGGGATGTGCTCGCCCCCGGTCACCAGGTCCTGACTGCAGCAGGCCCATGCCATTCCCAAACTCCCTTTACAGAAGAGGCACAGCCTTGGAGAGATGAGATGGCAGCTTGTGCACAGCAAGTAGGGACAGGACCCTAACATCTGCTCACAGGCCCAGGATGAGGTTGCCAGCCATGCGGGAGGGCTTGGGGCCCACTGTGAGCCACAGAAGCAACTGGCCCTGCTGCCGCAGGGAACTGGGGGTGGTAGGGGGAGGCACAGTACAGTTCCCCCAGCAGCCTGACATATTCACGTCCCTCTTATTCACACCCACACGCATGGCACCTGACACAGGATGTGTCTCTGTACCTCCTAGACCAGAGCACAAGCTGTTCCTTCAGCGCCAGGCTCTGCCGGTCCCTCTGGTTATCCCCCCACCTCCACCCTGTACCAAGCGGGGGGAGCAGGCACACAAAGTAGGGCAGCCCACTGTGGACCCGCTGCCTAAGCCCTGCTTCACAGGTAGGACCCCAACACCCTGAGGCTGGCCTGGCCCCCAGCGCTCCCCATTTAGGCACGCCTCCTCCCAGACACTCCTCAAGTGACAAGGGGAGGACAGGACATATGTGGGACCTTAATGGGAGGCCCCTAGGAGAGGACAAGGAGGGGGAAGGGGTGCGAGCTTGACCCCTGGCCCCCTGTAGCTCTCATAAGATCTCACACTGTTCTGCCCAAACCAAGCTGGAAAATCTGTAAAACGGAAGAAATCGAGGGTGGTGGAGCAGACGCAGTTGCCAACCGCCCCTCGGCTGTGTCCACAGCTGACACCGCACACTTTCCATCTTCCGTCCAGATTCCCTCATGGCCCCAGCACCCCAGGCAGGCAGTGGGGCTCTGGCTTCCCGGGCACCTGAGGGTGCAGGGGACCCATCCCCTCTCAGAATGGCCTGGAGGGCAGCACACACCCTTGGTGTCACCAGCTTCGTGGAGGCTGGAGAGTCCTGGCTCCCTCGCCAACAGTGCCAGCTTGTGGGGCAGGGGCCAGGGCTGGAGGACACTGGCCTGGCCGCCCATCTGGGAGTGATTTGAGAAATTCCAGTCCTCGCTGGTCCTTCGAGGCTATTCTTAACTGCTGTAATTACAGGGTCAGCCTTGGCCGGTGGCACCATGGGGTCTGGGCATCGTTAACTCCTCCAGGGGCCACACTTGGGTTGGGCAGGGGATGCTTGGGGGGGGGGGCATGGAGAATCCTGTTACTGGGGGTGGAGTCTGGAAGGCAGGAAGTGGTGGGCGGAAGGGCACTTGATCGCTGGTCCCTGCCCGCCAACGCTTCTGCTGGGGGCCCTGCAGGGAAGGGGCTATCTGGCTGGGGAAGGCCTGGAGAGCAGGATGCCAGGGCAGACTCAGGACAGGGGTGGAGGCACGGGGACAGACGCTGGACATGGAGCCCAGCAGCCCAGGAGCTCCAGTTCCTCCCAGGCAGGGCTGGGTCCTGCTGGCTCCTCTCTGAGTCCCCAGGGCCCAGAGCAGGCAGAAGGCTGAGGCAAGCATGGCTCACCCTCTCACCCACATGTGGCTTTAAGGAAGGCACTGAGTGTTTTTCAGCCTCATCTTCCTCATCTGTAAAATGGGCCTCACCAGCTTCTCAGCTCCTCCCTTGGTGTGAGAGGATGGGAGGGAGGGTCACCATCACCCTGACTGCTACCCCTCCTCTGGGGGCTGTCAGCTGGGGCAAACCCCTGGCAGGAGTTCTGCACTCAGGTGGGGGCTTTTCAGGAGGGTCCCAGGAGGACCCCACAACCTTCCTTGCCCCAGACACACCACCCTTGCTGCTCCTGGGGCTTGGGCAGGTTGCTGCCCCTCTGTGACTCAGTTTTTTCAGTTGTGAAATGGAAGCAGGGGCTGGACAAGCCAGCCAAGGACCCAACAAACACTCCCAGATCCCCCACCTGGGACAGTCCTGCAGGCCCCTCCATGAACCACGGCTGACACAGGCCGAGGCTGCACAACAGGGACCATTCCCTGCCTCCTCCCCAGGCCCCGCCTGGCTCAGTCTCTGAACCTTCCCGAGTCTCAGTTTGCTCAGCTGTGATGTGGGTGGTCACGCGGACTGAAAGGACGGGTCACTCATAAACACTCGCTGGGGGCCTCCTGGCGTGTGGCTCCTGAGCTGCGGTGCACCAAGGCCATCCCCGCACAGAGCTGGCCCTGCCTGGCCGGGGCTCCGCTGGGCGCAGCCGCAAACCCTCTCCACACGCTTCTGGAGCAGATGGAAGGATGAAGTGTACTTGGACCCCCAGGCTGTCTGGGCACCAGCCCCACCTGGGGACAGACCCCAGGACCAGGGACAGCTGAGTGACTGGTGCTGAGCGGGCCTCATAAACCATAGCGGAGTTCAAGGCGCACCTCCACCTCCACCTGCACGCCTGCCAGTCTGTCCCGATGCCACCCCACGTCCACCTGCGTCGCCCTTCCTGTCAGAGCCTTGGGCCTCCTTGGGCCCTCAGCCCCACCAAGACGTCCACAGCAAAATCAAGTGGATGCCTGGGCCTCCCGACAACACCCTCTCCCCAAATGCCAAAACACACATGCATTCACCCAGCTGCGAAGCCTGCCGTGACCAAGGGCCCGCTCCACTGCCAGGGACCAGGCCGGCACCTCAGCGCCTGCTGCTGGCGCAGTCTGGGAGCTCCTGGAGCACAGAGAGGGTTTCTTTCGCAGAGACCTTTACAGCCCAGCTCACTTGGGTGCTCAGCCCGCCTCGCCGAGCCAGCAGTGCCCGTCCATCAGGCCTAGACTCAGGACACCATCTGGGCCCTCGGCCCACCGTCCCACCCGACTGGCCGCAACTCCTACCCGGGCGAGGTGTCCAGGGTGAGGGAGGCCAGCGCGCTGGAGAAGAGCCGGGTGTCCCAGAGCTTTACTTCGCGCTCACGCATCTGCGGGGAGGGCAAGAAAGAGGCTCAGAGGGGCCTGTCCCTCAGCCCACCCCACAGCTCCTGGGGAATCCAGCATCAGAGGGCGCAGCCTGACAAGAGGGCACTTGCCCCACAGCAGAGCTTGGAGTGGGGGACAGTCACACCAGGGAGGGAGAGTTTCGGTTTTCATGTCCTGCCCCTTTAAGAACCCTTAGGTGACAAGGGATGAAGGGTGGTTCCCTCCGTGGACTCTGATCCCTGTGGGGCCACCATGGCTCCCAGGGTCAAGCTTAGCTCTTGCAAATGGAATCTGCCAGTTTTCAGCAGCCCTTGGTCCCCTGGGGCTCCGAGACCCGGCCGCACAGCCAGGCCGTATATGGACAGGCCTGGAGCCGGCCCTCAGTCCCCCGCCTCCCAGTGGCCTCACTCCCACCTCTTGGGGCAGGAGTTCAAAGGGCTGGACAGGTCCCCACCTGGCTGTGCCCTGCTCATCCGGGAGAAGTCCCCTACCTGGTTGAATCCAGTGGACACAAGATGCTCCTGGGTGTCTGTCCAGGCCAGCCGGCTGTCCCTGCTGTTCTCATGGGCCTGTGTGCTCTGCAGAACACAAGACAAGGAGCTAAGCCACCAGGGACCCCACTGGGGGTCGAGGGCCCCTGGAGTGGGCCTGAGTGGGGGAAGTTCTGCTGCCCACCAGTTCCCTCCTCCTAAGAGGGCCAGGTGAGGCTTCATTTACCACCAGGCCCCTACCCCAATGCTGGGGGCTAATGACACCAGCACTTGCTTGCCTCTGTAGGTACCCAGAGGAGGCACTTGGCTGGGGGTCCCCAAGCCCAGGCTCTGGAACCCAAAAGCTGAGTGACCCTGGAGGCCCCACACCCTCCTGTAACCTCATTTTTCTTGCTTGTGCATGGGGCTCGCGTTGCCCGTGCCACCTACTCCTGGGGCTGTCGCCGTGTGGAAAGACAGGGCCTGCCATGCACATCCAGGGAGGGTGAGGATTACCGCTGCCTCCTGAGCAGGAAACAGGGCTGGGGGCTGAGCTTAGGAACGTCCCCGTCCCCCAAGAGGGCAGAGCAGTGCCCATCGGCCCTCCTGCGGCACTGGAGCTGCCAGCAGGAAGATTCCCAACCCCAGGGAGGAGAGGGAAGTTCACATGGCGGGCGGGGCCCTGTCCCCGGAGCCCTGGCAGGGGGGAGCTGAGGGGGCTGGAGGAAATGCACACAGCTCCCTCCCGGCCACCCCGGCCCCTGGAGCCTGAGATGGAGGACCCTGTTTCCAAAAATAGCTCACCCCAAACCGTGGCCAGCTTCCTCCTAGCTTCCCACGATCTCCTTGGGAATGAATGAGGGAGGGAAGTGGCCGCGAGGAGCTGGCCCAGGGCCCCCTCCCCAGCCCGCACAGGCCGACCCCAGCGTGGGAGACCATTGGAAACAGCTCCATGTTGTGTCCTTCAAGGGCTTTTCTCCCTTCCCACCAGGCCGCAGCCGGCACAGGAAGTCAGGGTTGGAGCCTGAGAACCAGGGCCCCACACCCTTCTCTCTACGTAAGAGGGGCTGTAGGGTCACATCAAGAGCCAGGCTGCTGGCCAGACCTGCCCCCAACACCCCAGAGCGGGTCAGAAGTGTCATTCAGGCTCTCACCCTGTCATCGGTGTGCAAATATTCCTGGTGTAAGCAGCAAACCAGATGGCTCCCAACTTGTCTGCACATCGTTCATTCATTCAACAAATACGCCAGGCCCCGCAACGGGCCAGGAGCCGTGCTAGGAGCCGGCAGGCTGGACAGTTCTTAGATGGAGGGTTGGGTACTGGGGGGAAGTGGTGCTGCTCCTTCATTTGTTCTCTCATAATACAGACATTTGAGCCTCGCACTATGCTAGGCACTGGGGACATGGGAACAAAACATAAAATGTCCCCAAGTCCGTGGAATATGCACGTCAGGGAGGCAGATGTGGGCCAAGTAAGAACACCGTGTCATAACGCATTATTGTAAGTGCCGTGAAGGAGCAGCGCGGCAGTTATGGGAGCAAGCTTTGGAGTCGGACTGCCTGAGCGAAAACCCAGCCCAGCTACCCCCGGCCCCGTCCCAGGATGAGCCCTCAACACCTCTGCGCCTCAGTCTCCCTGTCTGTGAAAAGGACCACAACAGGACCTACTTTTGAGGACTGCTGCAAGGAGTGTGAACACCTGCAAAGTGCTCAGGATTTGTCTGGCACATGTCCAATGTGCATTTTTATAGGATGATAATGGTACACTAAGCATATAACTGAAGGACGTCAACATCAGACTACATTCGAGCTAAGCCATCAGAGTGGGCATGCAGGGGACCAGCATCTGCAAAGGGGCAGGAACTGGCAGCAGAGAGGCAGCTGCAGCCAGCAAGGGTGAGGCAGGTGGAGGTGAGGCCAGGCCAGGCCTGGAGGGCCCCGGGGATGCCATCGAGCATCTTGCATCCCGGGGCACAGCCTGGGAGTGAAACATCCATGGCCAGTATCTCTCACCTTCCTGATTCACACATGGAGAGACCCAAGGCCCAGTGAGAAGAGGCCATTGGCCCAAAGTGGCCCAGCAACACAGCTGGGGGCCACCTCTTACGAGCCGGGCCCACCACTATTTCCTCAATCTGCACAAGTGGACCTGAGGCTCAGAGCAGTTGACAGACTTATACGAAGTCACAGCAAGAAGGCAGCAGAGACAGGACAGGGAGAAGCCCAGGACAACAGCTACCCTGCAGACAACCTCTGGTTTCCAGCAAACACTGCAGGGAGAGCCAGGCCCCTGGGCACAGCAGCATGGGCTGTGAGTCCTGCTCTCCCAAGCGGTCAGCCAAGCTTCTGAGCTTGAGACCAGGGTGGGGTGGGGGCATCAGGGCAGCTGAGACCCAGTAAGAGCTCAGGCTGCACCCCGCCACTCCCTGCTGTGGGCACAGCCAACTCAGTTTGCACAGGGACTATGGGAAGCCCCTGGGTTGGGGAGGGGTGTTCATAGCCACCCCCCCTTCCTCTAACTCCCCTCATCACTAGAATGATTTTCAGTATCAAAAATGAAAAGTTCTTTGCTGACCTCAGATTCTCATTCCCCTGGGCTGGCAGAGGGGGCAAGGGTGCTGCCCCGAAGCCCAGCCCTGGCACTGGAGGCTGCGGGTTTCCCTCTTGGAGGTGACATGGCCCACAGGTCCTGCCGGCCCTGCAGGCAGCAGGGCATCCTACTCATGGAGAAGCCCCAAGAGGGCTTCACCGCCCCCCAGTCCTCCTACACCTGGCCCTGAGAAGAGAAGGGGAAGGGCTGTGGCCAGGCAGGGCCAGCCCTACCACAGGGGCGCAGGAGGGGAGGCGCATACCCAGCATTCCAGCTGGGGCAGCCAAGTCCCCTTCTGTTGCCATGGCAATGCTTCCTGTGTGGGGCAGGGCGGCTGGAAGCAGCCCTGGGTGCCTTCCTGGGGTGAGGACCTGCTCCAGGGGTAAGACCCCACCATGGGCCCACTCCCCTCCTGGAGGCTCAGTACTGGGTGGGAGGCTCCCCCAGGCCTGCCTGACACATGGGGCTCAGGGCACAGGCTTGCCTGCCATGCCAGAGGGTGCCACTCATGGAGTAATCCCTCAGCTTCAGGGCTGCTACTTCCCTGGATCATCCACAGCTCCAAGGCCTCCCCCAGCCCCTCTCCCCAGTGGCCCAGGTGCAGGGAAGGGGCAGCAGCAGGGGCCAAGGGCCCCTGGGTCAGACAGACGAGCCTGACGCTGTCACTCTGCAGTGGGACCCTGGAGCAGCTAAAGAACCACCATCCTAATCCTCAGCGTCCTCACCTAGAAGAAGTCGAACATGCCAAGCGCCTGGGACATAAAAATGGTCACAGTTGCAATCTATAAACAAAGTAGGAGTGTGAACGGAGGGAGCCACCCAGGGGCACCCTGCTCCAAGCTCAGGTCCCAAGTCAGGATCCTAAGAAGACAGCGGAGAGGAGGACTGGCCCTCACGGCCAGCCTCGGGGCTCTGGGGACAGCACAGGGCCCAGGTGAGGCAAGAACCAAGCGAACAGAGGTTGGGGGGAAGATGGCGCACCCCCCCTGGCCCTCAGCCACACCCCCCATAGCGGGAAGGAGGCTCTCCTGAAAAGGTGCCCCCAGAAGGCCTCTCCCCTGAGCTGGCCCCTCAGCTCACACCAGCCCCGGTCGCCAGCAGCGGTTTTCCTAATAGAAGCCAGGTGTGGGCCAGATGCCCTGGGCGGAAGTGGGGGCAGGGCAGCGTGGAGGGCGGCATCCCAGCCCTGCACCCACACCGCCAAGCCCAGGCGCCACCCCAGCAGCTGGGAGAGGGGGCAGGAGCCGCCCACGCCCTTCCCAGGTCTCCTTAGCCCTGCAGCCCACCGGGGGCTCCCTCCAGAACCAATCCTCTCTCTCTCTGAGGAACTGGGAGCTCCTTGGACGGCAGCCACTCCATCCCCACTCAACATCAGTCGAGGCCCCCAGCCCTGCTCTGGAGAAGGAGGAGGAGGAGGAGGAGGAGGAGGAGAAGGAAGGCTGGAATGAGGCAGCAGAGGAGGCGAGAAGAGGAAGGAAACAGGGTGGGGGAGGCTGGCCAAGTGATGGCAGTCAAGGGCAGGGACAGGGGTGCCCAGCAGGACTCCGGGAGGGAGGGCAGCCTGGGAAGCGGGAGGGCAGGCCTCAGCTGCCCCTTCACCCTGAGCCTGGGCAAAGGCTTGGTGGCCAAAGAAAGCTGCAGGGAGGCTGCCACGCACATCCGCCAACCCCTGCCAGTCAGCCAGCCTCCCCAGGAAGCAGGCTGGGGTGTCTCCAGAACCCTCTGCCCAGCTCCTTCACCTGTCAAAGGGCCTCCTTTCGGTCTCCTGCTGGACAGAAGTGGAACTGACTTTACTATCTCAGCCAAAATGTGGCAATTTGCCATGTGACTGGGTTACTGAGAGAGAGAGAGAGAAAGAGAGAAGAGTGTGTGTGTGTGTGTGTGTGTGTGTGTTTGTGTGTGTGTGTGTGTGTGTGTGTGTGTGTGTGTTGGGGGGTGCCAGGGCCCCCAGGCTATTTGGGTTTAGGCTGGTGGTTTACCCTTGACCCCGAGTGGGGAACAAGTCCTAGAAATGGGGAGAGGGTTATCTGTGATGGGCCTGGGGCTCTGCTGGGCAGCTCTTTCCCAGGGCGGGCAGCAGGACCTTGGACTTCACCTTTCTCAGGGAAAAAGCCTCCTCAGCTTTCAGAAAGCTCTTTTTAGAAATGTAAATCGACCCATCTCACTTCCTGCTTTAAACTCTGATGGCTTCCCACAGCCCTGGTGACATGCCTTTCACCCACCTCAGGCCACCTGCACATGCCCCCTTGACCTTATCCACAGTCCCAGCTCCAAGGCCAGTTGCTCAGGGAAGCACTGAACAGTCCCAGTGAGAGAAGCCACCAGCAATTACGTCAGGGCCAGCCGTGTGTCCAGCTCTTCAATGTTCCCTGCCTGGCACCAAGCTCCTGCCTAGAGGTTTCTGTGGAACAATGACTCCCGGTGGCTCCAGGACTGAGACGTGAACACAGATCCCAGCTTCTGTGCCGGGAGCTTGACTGGCCCGGTGCACCCCATGCATAGACTCACACTTAGCTCCTGGGTCCTGCCGGTCTGGCAGGCTCCACCCAGGGCCCGCCCACTGTAAGACAGCAGGGCGTAGGGGGTGGGACTGTTTCTTTTTGGCCCCATTGACCTTGCCAGGGAGAGAGGGTGGGGGGTGAAGGTCTCAAAGAAAAGGAGGAAGTCGGAATCTCAAATTACCTGCCTAAAACCACAGGATGCCTCTGAGAACGCCCGCCTGGGCAGCCTGGCTAAGCCCCACCCTGTGATCAAAGCCAGGTCCCCCCCAGAGCCCAGACAGGCTTCCCAGAAGGAGCTTAGAACAGCAACAGCCCACCTCCAAGGGGACCCCTGGTGCAGACAGCCCGAGCCTGCCCCTACCTGCACCTGCTGGAACTGCTGGGCCCATGGCCTGAGCGGAGGCTTCAACCCACCCCGGCTCAGCTGCCCAGGAAACTCACCTGAGAGGCCTGTGGCTTTGCTCTGGGGTCAAAGATCCGCAGGTGCTTGTCCTGAAAAAGCAGAGAGCAGGAAACAGATTAGGGCAGGGGGTCCCTGGGGCCAGCCTGTCTCCCCACCCTAGGCCAATGAGCATGGCCCCAGTAACAGGGCTGGCATCACACACCCACTTTCTGGGCAAAGGATTCTTCCCCAGCCTGGTTCTACCTCCTCGCCAAAGGAGGGCAAGCCCCTACCTGCCCAGGCACCCAGGAAAGTAAACTCAGTGACAAGAGTTCACCTTCTGGAGCACCTACTACATGCCAGGCATGCTAGACACACAATCCCTCCTCATCTTTCCAACTACCTTCTGAAGCGGTGCTACCACCATGACCCCTTCACAGAAGAAGAAACGGAGGCCCAGAGCCTAGGCTAAGCCACTTCCGGTGTGTTCAGCCCTGCGCTAGGCCCAGCCCAGAGGGGCTCATTTGACCACATCATTTCTGCACTTAAAGAATTTAGCATCTAACCAGGAAGACAAGCTGAGCTTACACATCACAACCGTCCACTCAGTGCAGTGACTGATTCAATTACTCCAAGTAAGGATGGAAACAGACAAGAAAGAGAAAAAAATGCACTGAAGTAAAATTTCCACACCTTGTATAGGGCCTTATTTTTGTGGAATGATCTCTGTGTCCACACATGCATGCGCGTGTTTGCACACGGATGAACATGCATAAAGAACTGGGGCAGAATCTGTGTCCGCTGACTATTTACGGGCTTGGCCACAATAAATGGTTCAGTGCAAAAAGGAAGTTGCAGAATAACGTGGCATGGTGCAATTCTACTATGGTCAAAATAAACAACATTCTCTATTTGTGTGACCATGATCCTGTCTCTTTTGTTTGTTGTTATTGATACGCAAAAATTGTACATCCTGTATGTTTAGCAAGTTTGCTAAGCAGGAGAAAGGTGTTGACCAGAACAAGCCAGTATGTTAATGCTGGGCACAAAGGGTGGGGAAGGTGGGAGCTGATTAGCTTTTCCCTTTTACATCTTAGCACAGCTCCATTTTCTTTTGTTTTGTTTTTTTTATTTTTTCATATACCCCCAATTGCATAAAGAATCTACTTTGTTTCAATCAGCACAGATTCCTATTTTCATATTTTGAAAAACAGTGAATAATTGGAATTTGAAATTAAAAACAACATCATATGCATCAGAACCAAAATGCTGAAATACAGAAGTTCCTCGACTTAGGATGGGGTTATATCCCAATAAACCCATCATAAGTTGAATATATGCCAGGTCAAAATCACAGCCCAGAAAGTCGTTGTTCAAAGAATTACCAGTGCTTAAAGTCTGAAACCTTATGGTCTTATGGTTGTGTAACACTTTCACACCATTGTAAAGTCAAAAAATCTTAAGTCAGGAACCATTTGTACTTAATTATAAATCTAATAAAATATATACAAGATTTATATGAGGAAAACCACAAAACTCTGATGAAAAAAATCACAGATCTAAATAAATGGACAGGGTTTCCATGTTCATGGATACGGCATCTCAATATTGTCAAGAAGTCAGTTCTGGTGATATAGCACCTCTTGTATACTCCTGGATAGAGCTGGAATGCATTCTACTAAGTGAGGTATCCCAAGAATGGAAAGACAAGCACCACATGTGCTCACCATCAAATTGGTATTAACTTATCAACACATAAGTGCACATATAAGAATAACATCTATTGGATGTTGGGCAGGGGGGAGGGGGGAGGAGGGAGGAGGGGAAGGGTATATGCATACACAAAGAGTGCAATGTGCACCACCCGAAGGATGGACATATTTGAAACTCGGACTTGGGGGGCGGTGGCAAGGGCAACATACGTAACCGAAACATCTGTACCCCCAAAATATGCTGAAATAAAAAAAAAAAGAAGTCAGTTCTTCCCAACATTATAGATTCAACACAATCCCAACCAAAATTCCAGCAGGTTATTTTGTGAATACTGACAAACTCATTTTAAAGTTTATATGAAGAAGCAAAATACCCACAATAGTCAAGACAATATTGAAGAAAAAGAACAAAATCGGAGGGCTGATACTACTCGACTTTACTATAAAGCTACAGTAACCTAGAACTGTGACACTGGCAGAAGAATAGACAAAGAGATCAATGAAACAGAACAGGGACCCCAGAAAAGACCCACACAGATACAGTCAACTGATCTTCGACAAAGGAACAAAGGCAACACAAGGGAGAGAAGACAGTCTTTTCAACAAATGGTGCTGTAGCAACTGGATATCCACATGGGGAAAAAAAAAAGAACCTATATACAGAACTTACCCTTTTAACAAAAATTAACTCAAAATAGGTCATAGGTATAAACATAAAAAACAAAACTATAAAACTCCTAGAAAATAACAGGAGAAAATCTAGGTGGCCTTGGGTTTGGCAATGACATTTTAGATACAACACCGAAAGCATAATCTATTAAAGAAAAACCTGATCAAGTAGACTTCACTAAAATTGAAAACTTCTGCTCTACGAAGACACCATCAAGAGAATAAAAAGATGAGCCATGGACTAGGAGAAAATATTTCCAGAATACATATCTGATAAAGGATTTACATCCAAAATACAAAAAGAACACTTAACAATAAGAAAACAAATAACAAAATTTAGTAATGGGCAAAAGACCTGAACAGACACTTCAACAAAAAAGATATATAGATGAAAAATGAACATACAGAAAGATGCTCAACATCATATGTCATCAGGGAACTATAAATTAAAAGAACGAGATTTTACCACCCACCTATTAGAATGACTAACATCCAAAAAACTGACAATATCAAATGCTGCCAAGGATGTGTAACAAGAACTCTTACTCGTGGCTGATGGGAATGCAAAATAGTATAGCCACTTCGGAAGATAGTTGGCTGGTTCTTCCTTTCCTTTCTTCTCTTTTTCTCTCTCTCTCTCTTTCCCTCTCTCCCTCTCTCTCCTTTTCTTTCTTTTTTTTAAGAGACAGGGTCTCACTCTCTCACCTAGGCTGGAGTGCAGCGGTGGAGCTTCTGGGCTCAAGGGATCCTCCTGCCTCAGCCTTCTGAGTAGCCAGGACTACAGGCGTGCACCACCACACCTGGCTAATTTTTAAAATTTTTTGTAGACGTCGCATTTCACTATGTTGTCCAGGCTGATCTCAAATTCCCAGCCTCAAGCAATCCTCCCAGCCTCCCAAAGTGCTGGGATTACGGGCGTGAGTCATCGTACCTGGCCAAGATGGCACTTTCTTACAACGCTAAATAGACTCTTACCGTATGATCCAGCAATTGTGCTGCTAAGTGTATTTACCTAAACAAGTTAAAAACTATATCCACATAAATGTCTATAGCAGTTTTATCCCATAATTACAAAATTGGAAGCAACCAAAATATCCTTCAATAGGTGAATGGATAAACTGCAGTACATTCATACAATGGCATATCCTTCAGGATAAAAAGAAATAGTTTAGATCCCAAATCATAAAACTCCTGTAAGAAAACATAGGGGAAAAGTCATGACATTTGATTTGGCAATGATTTCTTGGCTATGACACTAGTGGCACAGGCAACAAAAGCAAAAATAGACAAATAGAACTACACCAAACTTAAAAACTTTTGTTCATCAAAAGACACAGTTGGCCGGGTACAGTGGCTCACACCTGCACTTTGGGAGGCCAAGGCAGGAGGATTGCTTGAGTCCAGGAGTTTGAGACCAACCAGAGCAAGAGTGAGACCCTGTCTCTACAGAAAATAGAAAAATTATCCAGGCATGGTGGCACATGCCTGTAGTCGCAGCTACTTGGGAGGCTGAGGTAGGAGGATCGCTTGAACCCAGGAGTTTGAGGTTGCAGTGAGCTATGATGACACCACTGCACTCTAACCCAGGTGACAAAGTGAGACCTTGTCTCCCCCCCCCCAAAAAAAGACACAGTCAACAGAGTGAAAAAGCAACATATGGAATGGGAGAAAATATTTGCAAATCATGTAGCTGATAAGGGGTTAATATTCAGAATATTCAAAGAACTCCTACAACTCAATAACAGAAAAAATCAGATACCTCGATTAAAAAAATGAGAAAAGGACTTGCATAGACATTTGTTCAAACAAAATATGCAAATGGCCAGTAAGTATATGAAAAGATGTTCAACATCACTAATAATCAGAGAAATGCTAATCAAAACCACAATGATCCATTAGGATGGCTACTATCAAAAACAAACAAATAAAAACAAGTGCTGGTGGGGCTGTAAACAAGTTAGAATCTTTGCACGCTGTTGGTGGGATTTTAAAATGGTGCAACCACTATAGAAAACAGTATGGCAATTCCCCCCAAAATTAAAAATAGAACTATCATATGATTCAGCAACCCCACTGCTGGGTATATATCCAAAAGAATTAAAAGCAGGGTCACAAAGAGATATTTGTGCACCCATGTTCATGGCAGCCCTGTTCACAATAGCCAAGAGGTAGAAACGGCCCAAGAATCTACTGACAGATAAATGAATACACAAAACATGGTGTACGTATATGTACAATGCTAGACTATGCAGCCTCAGAAGGAAAGAAAATCCTACCATATGCTATGTGCAACATGAATAAACCTTGAGGAGTTAGCATCTCATTACACTAAGTGAAGTTAAGTCAGTCACGAAAGCACAAACTATATGATTCACTTACATGAGGCATCTAAAGTTGTCAAATTATAGATAGAGAAAGTAGAATGGTTGTTACTAGGGGCTGGGGGTGGGGTGAAGGGAAACTATTGTTTAATGAGTATAGAGTTTCAGTTCTGCAAGAAGAAAAAACTCTTTGAGATCTGTTTCACAACAATGTAAATATACTTAACACTACTGAATTGTACACTTAAAAATGGTTAAGATGGGAAATTTTATGATATGTGTTTTTTTATCACAATTTAAAAAAAATAGCTATCAGTCCACAAAAAGACATGGAGGAACCTAGAACGTATAGGGGGAAGTGACAGAAGCCAATGTGGAAAGGCTATGTACTATATGATCCCAACTATATGACATTCTGGAAAAGGCAAATCCATAGACAGCAAGAAGACCAGGGCTTGCCAGCTGGGAGGGGAGGGGAGGAAGGGAGCTGGAGCACAGGGGACTGCTGGGGCAGCAAAACGCTTCTGTGTGACACTAGAATGGCAGATACGTGACATCGTGCATTTGCCAAAACCCACAAAATGTACAACACAGAGGGAACCCTAAAGTAAATCACGGGCCTTAGTTAATGCCAACATATCAATTTTGGCTCATATATCATAACAACCGCACCCCACTGACAGCAAGCTGTGAAGGACAGGAGAGAACGAGGGAGGAATATGGAAAATCTCTGTACTATTTGTTCAAATTTTTCTGTAAACCTAAAACTGTTCTCGAAAATAAAGTCTATTAATTAAAAACTTGCTAAAACAAAACGAAGGGGAAAACCATGGGACTTCCTGCTCTGCCCACAGCCCCTGCCTGGGAGATGAATGACCAGTCCCTGCTACACTGAGCTCGTGGCTAAGTGCTGGACCCTGCAGCCCAGGGTTGGTCATGGGAAATGCTGGGGAGGAACTCAGAGCAGAGTTGAACCTCAAAGGCCAAGCAGACCTTATACTGGGAAGGGAAAGGCATTCAAGGAAGGTGGAACAGCATGAGCAAAGGTATGGAGAGAGGAGCTTGCTAGTACATGACGTCAGGGGGAGAAGACCAGGTGAGGCAGGTGGCAGGAACAGAGGGGACCGTGGGTAACTACACAGGTGAACAAGACAGGAGGCTCACCTGGAGAGGGCCCCAAAAGCCAGGCCTCCCTGGCATACCTTGGCTGGGCCCAGGGTTCTGTGCTGCTCCTGGCAAAGCGTCCCAGTGGCAGTTTACTGAGCACCTGCTACGTGCCAGGTGAGCCCCAGGCACAGTCCAGGAATGAGCTTTTAAACACTGCCCTGCCCCACAGCCTCAGGTTCAGGGGGAGAGACAAAGATCAGGGAAGTGAGGACAGTGAGAGAAAGAGGGCAAGGCTGGTGAGGGCCAGAGAGAGGAGGACAGAGCAGGACAGAGCGGGACAGAGACGGGGGAAGTGACCGCAAGGGACGGAGAGAACTAGAGATCAGCAGACAGAGAGAACCAGAGGGGAGCAAGAGACAGACAGGACACGGGGGATCTGGAGAGATGGAGGTAAGAGAAAACACCTCGTGGCAGCAAGTGCCCCATGGAGCTGCGGGAGACTCGGCTCAGGTTCCAGCACCAGCTGCGCGCTGACGGCTCTGACGTGAGCCCCACGGCAACCTCCGGGGTTGCCGGGGGCTGGGCTTGGTTGGGCCACGGGGTGCATGTCCCTACCCAGAGCTTCCGCGGGCTGCAGAGCGCAGCACAGCCCTGAGCCGCCACCGCGAGCCCTGCGCGCCCCCTCGCGGCCGCCCAAGCTCTAAGCTCGCTCCCCTTCGCCCGCGGGCTGGGTCCTGGGAGGCGGACCCGGACTGGAGCAGCGCCAGGGCGGGGGACGCTTCCCCGCCACCGGCACACTCTGATGGGAAGCAGCGCGGTCCCCACGCTCCACTGCACCAACCCAGAGCCAGGCTGGTGACCACCGGCAGAGAGGGGTCAGGCTCCCTGCTGTGCAGTGGCCCACCCACCAGCTCCCCGCACAGCTCAGGCGAAGCCCTCACCCTCTGCACACCCAGGGGCCTCTCCACCTGGCCCTCAGTCACAGGGCGGCCCCACACTGCGTGGGCTTCCTACGTGATGCACACACCCAGGATCCCAAGGCGCCCCCTCTCCAGCAAAGGAAGGCAGCAGTGGACGCAGGGCTGAGGTCCCACCGGTCCCAGCATGTGCTGACAGGTGCAGCTTGGGGGTGATGCCACATCCTCACAGGTATAAACCTAGGTCTGGGAACCACACTTAGAGAAGGAGGAGGAGTCGCCCCACCGAGCATCCCTCCCACGACCCACTTGGGAAATCTGTGCAACTTTAAGCTCTGGGTCTAGCCGAGGAAACAGCCTGAGCTCCCTTGGGCCTGCACTTCCAACCCTTCCTCGCAACACACACACCAGCAGACGAGGCAGGCAAAAAGCGGCCCTGCCAGCAGATCACATGACTGCCACCACACAAGGCGCTTCCTGGTGACCCACAGCCCTGCTTGGTATCCTCCCCTGCCCAACTCCGATAGTAAACGGGCCTCAGATCCCCAAAGAGGAGGGTCTGGACCAACATACCAGTGACGTGGCAGAGGGCCTCTCAAAGAAAGGGGCGGTCACGGTCCAAAAGCGGCCACTCCTGGTCTGCTGACACTTTGCCCAGGCTATCCCGTCTGCCTGGGACGCCTCGCCCCTCCTTCTCAACCAGGGCCTGTCCCTCGAGGACTGGCCCCGAGCTCATTGTCCCGGGAAGCTGTCCCGGCAGGGCTAAGCTGCGTGAGCGTGCCAGGCCCTAAGCGGGGGTTGCCGAGGGACCGGCAGCCAGGCCTTGTTACATCTCGATCCCCAGGGCTCAGGCCAGTGTCTGGAACCCACCGTTCAAGGAACAACCCAGGGGAAAAGTGATGAAGACCGGGTAGTGCAGCTTCCACAAAAACGGCAAAGAAGAGAAAGTTGGAAATAGGGTTCCTGCAAGTATGCACAGTCACTGGGACAGGGGGCTCACAGTGGGTCCCCCTTCCCTTCCCACTCCACTCCCTCACCCCCACTCACTCTCACACGGGTCTGCTGGCCCCGTGCTGCACCCCAAAGGTCCTGACGGTGGCCCACATCCCCCAATCCAACCGGTCTTCAGAGACTCAACACCACCTCCTAGGGAAGCCCCTTGGCTGGGGGTCTCAGGCCCCAGCCCTGCCTTGGCTTTCCTTCTCCACCTGTTCCCTGCAGGCCTGTGACCCTCTCAGCCACCCTCCTCGTTCTCTCCCGGGGCCCTGCTCTGCAGTAAGCAAATGTATGCCAACACCCACCTTTCCCCTTCAGCCCCGAGTCTGCTCAGAGCCCCCTGGGTCCAGACTCAACTGACACCTCCGCTCAAACATCTCCACGTACTGCCAGCTCAGTGCACCTACAACCACCCCCCAGAGCAGGAGCATGGCCCATGGCCTTGCTGAGAAAATTCCTATGAGGTGCCCCTCCAACTGCCACACCTGCTGTGCGACCCATCTCCTCCCACGACCAGGAGCCAGCCTTACAACCCACCACACCTCACACTCCACCTCCACCACCCACTCGCCCCCTCCTCCCAAAGGGCTCCCACACCCACCACCTGTCTCCACCACCCCTGGCCGAGGATGGCCCTCTCCCCCCATGGCTGTCCAACGTCCACTTGTAGACAACACCCACTTGTAGACACAGCCCACCCTGCCATGCTCTTGTCCACAGGGTTCCAAACGCAAATCTGCTCACCTCTCAGTGCCACCTGCCCCTCTCTGGCCTCTAACACATCTCTCCTTTCCCACTGCTCTGATGAGATAAGCACGACCCTTACTCACCAGCCTTGGCACCTGCCTGACCTGCCCCTGACTTTCCCGGCCTCTCCAACCAGCTCAAAGCACCATGTCCCTCCCCCAGAGCCTGTGTCACAGGTCTGCTCCTCTGTACCCAGCAGCATGCTGCTGGCACGAGCCTCACATAAGGGAAGGCAGCTCAGACGAACCAGACAGGTGGCCAGGTGGGCTGGCTGAGGGTGGAGACGGACACTGAATGGCACAAACCAGGGACCAGCATGGGGCAGCGTGGGGCTCTCATGTGATAGGGACTCAGGCAGGGTGGGGGCTTCCAGATGCAGATGTGAGCAGGAGGCATGAGGGGCAGCTGGGGGTGGGGGCTCGCACCTGCGCACCCTGACCTCAGTGCTCTCTGCCCCATAAACAGCTCCAGAGGCACAGCCCCTGAGGCCCGCATAGAGCCCCCTAGGCGCTCCCACCCACCTGCTCACCTTGCATGCCGTGCCCACGAGGGCTCCGTCCCGGCTCCAGATAGCGCTCTGCACCAGGTCCCTGTGGTCTGCCAGCTCTGCAGAGAAACAGCCAAGGTCAGGCCCTGTGCAGTGCAGGCACCAGGGAAGCAGGCACGGGTGGGCCAGGCTTCAGGTAACTCCCAAGCAAGGACAACAGCTACGAGGGTCCCTTTCAGCTGGAGAGAGCTCCTTCTAGCCATGCTGCACCTGCACCCATGGGCTTCTTCCTTCCACCCCGCCCTCACCTGGCTGTGCTGCCACTTGACAACCTTCTGAGGCTCCCTGCTCCATCGCCCAGCTCTACTTCCCTCCCAGGCTCCCTTCTGTCACTCCCCAACATCCCCCCACCCCACAGAGTCACTCTCGCCCTGGGCCTCAGCTCCTGCCATCTCTGCTGTCCTCCCCTAGGGTGAGGTGGTAAAATACGCCCATACATCCTCTGAAACTCCTCCTGTTATGGGTTGAATTGTGCCTCCCCAAAGGATGTTGAAGTCCTAATCCCCAGCACCTGTGAATGTGACCTTATCTGACAATAGAATCTTTGCAGATGCTCCAGCTAATCTGAAGTCTGTGGAGTGGGCCTTAATCCAGCATGGCTGGTGTCCTTATGAAAAACGGAAATTTGAACACATAGAGACATGGATAGAGGGAAGACGACAGGAAGACACGAGAAGATGGCCAGCGACAAGCCAAGCAACACCCGAGGCTATGCAAGCTGGAGAGCGGCTGGAACAGACCCTTCCTTGTAGCCTCAGGAGGAACCAACCCTGCTGACAGCTTGACCTCGGACTTCTGGCCTCCAGAACTGTGAGACAACAGACTAAGCCACCTGGTCATGGCTCCTTGTTACAGCAGCCCTAGGAAACTAACACGCCTTCATCCAAAACATGGCGCCCAGTTCTCTTCCTCTCAAGTGTGAGCAGGACTTCATGACTTGCTTCTAACACAGAGAATCTGGTGGAAGTGACAGCATGTGACTTCCAAAGCTAGGTCATAAAATGCACTGCGGCTTCCTCCTCCTCCTTGCTCTCTCTGTCTCTCCTGGATTGTTCACTCTGGGGGAGCCAGCTGTCACGTGGCAGGGCACTCCAGTGCCCACGGGAGGCCCGCACAGGACTAAAGCGTCTGCCCACAGCCAGCTCCCTGTGAGGCTCCATCGTGGTAGCAGAGCCTCCAGCCCCAGTCAAGCCTTCAGATGACAGCAGCCTCACGAGAGACCCTGAGCCAGAACCACCCAGCTAAGACACCCCCGAATTCCTGCCCCTCACGAACTATCAGATAAATGTTTGTAAGTTGTTTTAACCCGCCACGTTTGAGGTAATTTGTTCTGAAGCAATAAATAACCACAACACTGAGGTTCACTCTCCTGAAAAGAAGGCCAGCTCTGCTGCCCACCTGCACCATGGCCTTGGCCAAGTTACTTAATCTCCTGAGCCTCACCTGTACCACGGAAATGACGACACCTCCCCCAGGGGCTGCTGTGAGGACGGACGTGCTGAGGAGTCATGAAGCTCTGATGGCACCTTCTGTGTCATGCCCCTGTCCCCCACGGCAAAAGACAACTCCACAATGGGCACTAGCTGAATTCCCTGTAACTGGTGCTATCACAGCCTCAGTCAGCCGGGCGTGACCTCTGGGTCCCAGCCCTGGAGAGAGAGCTCAGCCCACCCTGGACACTGCACAACCCTCTGGGAGGAGTATGTGCCTCAACTCCCGCAACGCTCTGAGCCTCTGTGTCTACACCTCTAACGCAGGGATTGGCAGGTCAGGGAGGACCCTCGGCAGAGAACTGTGCAACGTCTCACAGGACACCTCAGGGCTCAGCTGCCAGTCACACGTGTGCAGTCACGACTGCTCAGCCCCGGGGGGCGTCTGACCCGGCACCGTGATCACCCACCAGGAGGCTGGGGGAGAGGCATGCATGTGTGGGGGGTGGGGTGGGGGGGTGCTCCAGAGAGCAACAGCCTCCCCTCCCAGAGTGGGAAGTCAACGGTTTGTTTTCAAAACTGAAAACAATTTCTAGAAATAAATGTACAGAAGTTATTTAGAAAAATGGAGGAAAACAACAGAAAAGAAATAGCTAAGGGAGATGAAAACAGATGCCCACGTGCAGTGGAGGGGGATGGGGTGTTTATCACAGCCTTGTAGAATCGTATGGCTTTTTAGACTTTTTATACTATGTACATGCACAACTCTGATCCGTGTTTTTACATTTGCCTTACTAAAAACGTCAACAAGGAAATGACATGCTGTTGGGACAGGGCTGCCTGGGAGGGCAGGGCAGGGTGGCCCGTACCTGCAAGGGGCTGCTGCTTGGCTGCATCCCAGACCTTCGCGGCTGTGCCCGCCGCGCTCACCAGAATGCCATCCGTGGCAGGGTGGAACTGCAGCACTGCCACTGGGAGGTCCTCCTCCAGCACCACCCCAGGCACTGAGGGCAGGGCCTGGCCAGGGGCTGGCAGTCGCCAGAGTTTCACCTGCAGGAAAGATGACATCTCTGAGCCAGGGCAGGGGGCCTCACCGCCTCCAGGCAGCCTTGCCCAGGGCTGCCCCTGACCCCAGTGAGGCCTGTGCTGGAACAAAGCTGCTCCCACCAGGACACCCTCCGCCTGTCCAGGGCACCCCACCTGCCTCTGCTGCTGGGCTGGGAGCTGTGTACCCCGTGTCAGGGAAAGGAGGGAAGGAAAGCTGACTCAGGGAGCACACGGTGTGGTCAGAAGCTGGGAGGACACGAGAGTGGGGCAGGGGCTGTGCTGTGTCCCCAGGCCTCCCCCGCCACGGAACCTGCTTCCCTCGGGCAGGAGCGCAGCCTCAGAGCAGATCACAGCCACAGCTCCTGGCAAGCCCTCGGGAGCTGGTGTGAGTCGAGGAACTTAGAAGGTCTGGGCTGGCCCAGCCTGGACACAAGCAAAGGGGCCCCAGGCTCTGGAGTGGGGAGGGGCTGGACTTGGGGCTCAGAAGGCCCCAGACTGGGGGGGGGACATCGAGCAGCTCTTCCACCCGGCTCCACTCACCGTCCTGTCAGCTGAGCCCGTGGCCAGGAGGAAGTCATCAAAGGGAGAGAAGTCCAAGTCGGTGACCAGGCCTATGGGAGAGGGATGGTTGAACTTTCTGGGACGTCCTGTTTCCAGCCCAGTGTGACCCTCCTCAAGCCCAGGGCTTCTGTGATGATACCTTCTGCCCACACCCAAGCAAGCCACCTCTGGACACCATGGGGGCACGTGCCACAGGCCTCCACCTGACACATGTCCCCAAAAGCCCTGCTGACCCAGGATGGCTGAGGGCCCTGGCATCAGGAGGTTGGTAGGAAATGGGCAGGAGCTCCTTGGGTTACAAGGCACCTGAATGAACAGAGGAGCCCAGACCAGCCCCTCCTAAGGTGACACACCCAGCTGCTCCTTCAGTTGTGGAAGGTCCCCAGGAGCCGCCTGGTAAATCCCTTTTTGGCTTAAGCAAGCTGGAGTTTGCTTTAGCTCTTTGCAACAGAAGAACCTCAGCAGCTCAGCTCTGGAGGGTGGGGGGACCCGGAGTGACTGGAGCCCAGAAGGGCAAGGAGGCTGGTGGTCTGGGGGGTAGAGACAAGGCGTGGAGGGCGGTGAGGTGAGACCCGAAGCACGGCCACCATCCCCTGCTATCTGCCTCCAGTGGGGCTGAGGAGGACTATTTTCCTCCTGGCAGGAGGAGACAGGGAAGAGATGGCGCATGGAAGACAGGCACCCTTGGGATAGCCCCAGCCTGGACTCCCAGCTGGCAGGACCATGACAGTCCTGGGCCTAAAGCCACAGAACCCCTGCCACCCTCAGCCTGAGGGCTCCTCACTGGGCAGGGCAGGTCCTGGCCAAGTGTAGCCACCAGCATGGGCAGCCTGGCATCTCTGGGGGATGAGATGTGGTAACACAATTGAGCGATCTGAGAGCTCGGCACCTGCTGGTGACAGTGGTATTGACAGCTTGACATGCACAGACCTCACTGAATGCCCAGAAGGACCCACTGGGTGGTATTGCAGCAGCGTGCCCAGAGAGGATGAGGACACCAAAACCCACAGAGGGTAAGAAACTTGCTCAAAGTCACACAGCTAAGAAGGGGTGGGGCTGACGGTCAGGGCCAGGCAGCCTGGCTCCAGAGCCTGCACTCCTCAGTGTGACATGACGCTGCCTTTCCCCAGCAGAAAGGTATGTATTATATGGTTCCATTTATGTGAAATGTCTAGAAAAGGCCAGTCTACAGGGCAGAGGGAGGCAACAGTTTCCTATAAAGGGTGAGGCAGTAAATCTTTCAGGATTTCAGGGCTATACACTTTCTGTCACAACTACTCAATTCTGCAGCTGCAAGAAAGCACCCGTCAATGAACGGGTGTGGCTGTGTTCCATTAGGTCTACTTACAAAAACAGGCAGCTGCCTGGATTTGGCCACGACAGTAGTCTGCAGACCTCTGCTACAGAGGCAGAAAGCAGATCAACAGTTGCCCGAGGCTGCAGCACCCGGGGTGGAAATGGATTAACCACAGAGGGGCACTTGGGATCTTTCGGGGATGATGGAAATGTTCTAAAACTGGATGGTGGTGTGCACAACTCTATAACCTTAATAAAAATCGTCAAATTATTCACTTAAAACAAGTAATGTTGGCCAGGCGTGGTGGCTCACACCTGTAATCCTAGCACTCTGGTAGGCCGAGGCAGGAGGATTGCTTGAGCTCAGGAGTTCGAGACCAGCCTGAGCAAGAGCGAGACCCCATCTCTACTAAAAATAGAAAGAAATTAGCTAAACGACTAAAAACAGAAAAAATTAGCCGGGCACGGTGGCACATGCCTGTAGTCCCAGCTACCCGAGAGGCTGAGGCAGGAGGATTACTTGAGTCCAGGAGCTTGAGGTTGCTACAAGCTAGGCTGACGCCACGGCACTCTAGCCCAGGCAAGAGAATGAGACTCTGTCTCAAAAAAACAAACAAACAAAAAAAACAAGTAATGTTTATAGTATATAAATGATATCTCAATAAAGTTGGTTCTTATAATTTTTATTTTTGTAAAGTTTTTTTTTTTTGGCCGGGCATGGTGGCTCACTCCTGTAATCCTAGAACTGTGGGAGGCCGAGGCAGGAGGATTGCTTGAGCTCAGGAGCTCTAGACCAGGCTGAGCAAGAGCGAGGCCCATCTCTACTAAAAATAGAAAAATTAGCCAGGCATCATGGTGTGTGCCTATAGTCCCAGCTACTTGGGAGGCTGAGGCAGGAGGATCGCTTGAGCCCAGGAGTTTGAGGTTACAGTGAGCTATGATGCCACTGCACTCTAGCCAGGGCGACAGAGCAAGGCTATGTCTCCAAAAAATATAAATAAATAAATTTTTTTCAAAAAGATTAGATGAGAAAACGCAGATAACGTACTTAACACAGAGAGCGCTCTCCATCAATCTTTACCATTGTTATTAACCACCATCATCATCGTCGGAACCCCTACACCCTACACTGCACTGCACACCCAGCCTGAGGACCAAGCATCAACCTCTTCCCCTCCCCTCAAGGACTCCCAATAGGCGGCCAAGAACGCAGGCCAGAGAGACTGGGCCCACAGCCGCTGCAGCTGGACAGGGAGCAGCAAGGCCAGCCGGCTGCCGCAGCCTGAGGCAGGCAAACTGCTCCCTCCAGGCGGGCAGGCTGCCAAGTGGGCTGCTGGGGGCCCCAGAAGCAGCTGCAGCAGACAAAAGCTCTCTTTGTGAGGGCCCATCTCTGGCCCTGCAGAGCAGCACAGCCACCTCCTTGGAGGGCCCTGAGGGTGCCTGGTGGGGAAGGGTGTCCTGCTGGGCTCCAGGAGAAAATGCAGGGCCAAGAACCACACAGGTTTGAGTCCTCAGCAGTGACAGGGAGCCAGCATGAGCCTGGAGGTGGCAACTGCACACCCCTCCGCCCAGCTCCACGACCTGCAGCGCACAGCTGCCCTCCTCGGCCCAGACTGGAATCCTAAACCAGGACCAGCCTCCTGGGCCCCACCCTCTCCCAGAAAACACATAGCAAGGACGACAGGAGGCACCTGGCAAACCATGGGGCTGTGGGACCAGTGGGCATGGATCTCTGGCCCTGGGAGGGGTGTGTAGGGTGGGGAGCAAGTTCTAGGCTTCCTGGGTCAAGCACCCACTCACCTGAATGGCAGCCCAGGTGGGCCACGTGTCTCTTGTCCTCTCCTTGGTCTTCCAGAGGCACGATGCCCAACACACCTGTTAAACCAACATGGGGTCAAGCCTAGTGGGGGGGACCATCTACCTCCCCGCCCAGGGGTCCCAGAGGAGACAAGACCCAGAAGCTCAGCCTTGGACCCTCCCAGAGCCTCCACCAATCACAAGACCACTTCCCTCTGGACGTAGTGATTGGCCCAGGTTAGACTCTTGCTTCACGCAAAAATCATCCATCGGATGTATGGAAGATGCTGGGGAAAGAGGTTCTCTGTTCGCATTATGGGTCAGATAAGAGGTCAGCTCAGGGACACTTTTCCCAGCTTTACTTGAGAAAGAAGACAACACCTGGGGCAGCAGGGCTGAGGGAGCATGTGAGAGGTCAGGGCCAACAGCACCTGTGAGCCTTTGGACATAGCTCTGCCTGAAGCTCCTGACTTCTTAGACAAGCCAAAAAGTTATCCATTTTTTGTTTAAGTCAGTCTGAGGTCTGAACTATCACTAGCAACCAACAGAGTGCCATCTAACACCCAGGCTTTTCAAATCTTTTCTTCCTACTGATCCAAACATCCCTGGGCCCACAGATGAAGAGGGAGTAGCATATGGGGACAGCTGGAAACAGAAGCATCAGTCACTTCCCGGCCCTCTTGGCCATGTTCTTGAAGACCACAATCAACATGGTTTATATATACACACACTCTAATCAAGGCTGATCCGATTACCACATGTTGGCCAGTTTGTAGGGGCCCAAGGCCCTGGGTGATGCTCAACTCTGAGCAGCCCCCCAAGTAATTCCAAGCCCCCACCCTATCCAGGGTGAGGATGTTTGAATCTCCACACCGATAGCCACTCCCCTACCTGGACGGTCGGAGTTGAACGCAATCAAGCTGCAGCTTGATTTGATATGGTTCCCACACGAGGGGGTGGTTCCGGCCCGAATGTCATTGATCCAGGCCTGAAAATAAAGAATAAGAAGTGTGTGGTGAGGGCCAGGGCTCTGCTCATGCCTAAAGCAGGGGGTGGGGCAAAATCCAGGAACTCCACCTTAAACCTACACCATTAGAGATGCATACCTTTGGATCAAACCCTGTCCCCCCACTCACACAGTCCCTTAGAGGATGCAAAATGTTCTTGAAATGGTAACTTCAGTCATTAAGGAGGCAATTTTGCTTATTAAGACAGTTCCCTAATAAGGGGGAGGAGGCTGTCAAAAGGAAGCTCAGGTGGAAATAGGCTAATTAAGCAGTGTGTGTTGGGGGAGGGTTGTTTCTGTTAAACGCAGGGAGAAAAGCAGAGAAAGGAGAAGTGAGAACCTAAGAAGACAGACTCAACTTCCTGGACTGTATTGCTGAAGGCCTCCTCCGAGTACTAGGAGAAAAACACCCAGCTCAGAGAGGGGAAACATCAGGGCCTGGCCTCATCAGAGTATGCCTTTCCATGAAGTCCCACAGATGAGTGAAAGCCGCAGGCCACAGGTGCAGAAGCAGAGGAGCACTTTTTCTGAAACTATGATTAGTGAGGTCCACGTATTTCTCTGTTGGTGTCAAAGCACCACTGGACACTCCTACCTGCCCCTGATCAAAGTGCACCTATATTTCCCACCCTCAGCATCCAGGAAACCACCTCCACCACCTGAAGTTTCTATTTCAATGTTCACCTGCCAGAGATCGTCAGTATCGTGCATTATTTTTGCCTTCTGATTCATGTTTACTGCATAAACACAGTGACAGGAAATGTCTTTGCAAAGGCGGATAGGTCACCTGTTCTCCCATCTCCCTAACATACACTGTTTTAAGTTCTCCCTTTGGTCCGCTATTCCATGCCTGTCTGTTTACTTTGCAGGACTGAGGCCCACCCAGGAGCAAGAAGCAGGGCCTTCCAGGCACTCTCCAGATGCTTCCAAGCAATACTTACTGCGCTCAGAGAGACTGTCTTAAAGTAAATCTAAGTGCCTCCCACAACCTTTCAATGGCTCCCCACCTGCACTCAGAATAAAACCCAACTTCTTCCTGTAGCCCTCGGGCTCTGCAAGGATAGCTCTGGACTCATCTGCCACCATGCTTCCCTGGTCACTGCCCTCTATCCACAGCCATTACTCCACTTTCCATTCCCACACTAGGCTCTTTCTCAATTCTCACCCTTCCAGCGTCAGCTGAATGTCACCTCCTCCAGTCAGCCTTCCTTGATCACCCTATTGAGATGAACCCCCACCTCACCGTTCTCCATTTCACCCCTCATGCGCGTTCTTCAATGCACTTAGTAAAACTTGGCAATGCCTCATTTGCTGGCTGTCTCTCCCGTGAGGCTATCAGTGTCACAGGGGAAGGAAAATGCAGTCAAGTTCACTGTTGTGGCTCCCGCAGCTTGGCACAGCACATAGTAGGTGCAGAGGAAACACTGCCCAGAGGACAGAAATGGAGACTCTGCTCCAGGCTGCCCTGATGTGCTTTGGGCCCCGATGGGGTCACTTGAGGTCAGTTCCTAGGCCCAAGTATCCGAGGACACTCCCATGCCTTGCGAATAACATAGGGAGCAGCAGACAAGGGCTGGCATCATCTCTGAAGCACAAACCTCATCAGACCTGCTGCCCTTCCAGGGTTCGAGGTGGCCCCCAGCACTTGGCTTATCTCTTTCTCGGGATTCCACCTGCTCAGGCTCCCCCAGGCCCCACCCAGACGTGGCGGCATCACCCAGAGTAAGGGAAGAGCTTGCCCAAGCAGCGAGAGGAGGAAGCGCCTGCGGAAACGCAAGGGAGGGGCGCGTGTCTGGTGGACGGGCTCCCCCCTCAGCAGACACACTCAGACAAGCCAAGGCCGGGGGAAGGGGAGCATCTCTTCCACACCCCAGCCTGGGGCAGGGACCATGGAAGCAGCGGGGAGGAGGAACCGGGCGCCAGCAGCGCCCCAGCCCTGGCTCCCCAGCGAGGCCGACCGGAAGCCAAGAAGGCAGGCGGCCTCGGAGGCCTGGGCCGGGGCCGGGAGGGCTGAGCCGCCTCGGGGGTCCCGGGCCAAGGCGGGCAAGCCAGACAGACCGCCGGGATCACCGGGCGGCCAGAGCAAGTCACAGGAGGGTCGAACTCTGCCCTCTGGGTGGCCACGGGACGACATGCACGCCAGGGCCGGGACCTGAAGGGGGCGCCCTGTGGGAGGAGGGCTCGGGGGTCCCCGGGGTCCCCGTGCCAGGCCCGGGCATGGGGAGAGGCGGCCGGCCAGGACCAGGGGCGAGCACGCGAGGCCCGCAGGCCGGGCTCACCTCGCGGCGGGGCAGCCGGGCTTCCGTGTGCCGGAACTTGGACACCTTGAAGCGGTTCATGGCGGAAGGGACGGCGGCGGGCGCAGCTTCGAGGACCCGGGCGTCGGCTCTCAGGTGCACGCCGAACAGCCACGACGCCCGCTGCCTGCGGCCCCACCCGCGGCCCGCCGCCTGCGGCCCCGCCCCGCCCCGCCCCCTGGCCAATCGCAGCCGCCCCCGGCCCGCCTGGCCACGCCCCCGGCCCCTTTTCTTCCGCGCGCGCGCCTTCGGCCCCCGCCTCCCGGCCAATCGCGGCTCGGCCGCCCCGCGAAGCCACGCCTCCGTGCCGGAGCGGCGGACTGGCGCGGGTGGGAGGTCACGTGCGGCGCAGCTGTCCGCCCACGGCCCCTGCGCTGCGCGCGTGGGGACAATCGCGATTTTGCGGGCAGGATTTGCCCCGGGAGGCTGTTCCGTGTGCCTGGCGCGCGCTCCCGCACTATCTACCTCCTCAAGTAGTGAAGACAGAAATTAACACTATTTCAGAGACAGGAAACCCCAGCTCAAGGAAAGTGTAAGCCCCTGGCCCCAGGTGACACCGACTGAAAGTGGCGGAGGATGTACAGGAGCCCAGGTCTGATGCAAATCTCGGTCCTCGGGACCTACTCAAAAGCCTGCCTCCCGTCCACCCTGCTTAGGCCTGGTTGGCCTGAGGAGGGTGGGGGCCTTCATGCCTTATTCGGGCATGTCCCACCTGGTCCCCACCGTGCCTGGGGCGTGGTGCGGCAGGACCCCCCCTCAGGAAATCAGTGAACTCCTTTACAGATAAGCTGAAAGGGAGAAAGATAAGGGCAGTGAAGAATTCTTTAAAATAACGAGTGCTCTGCCCCGCTTACTTCCCCAGCAACTCAAGAGAAAAGAGAGCAGGTTCATTCCACCTGGGGCCGTTCCTACCACAAGTATTTCTCTTTGCTTTGAAAATTGACTCCGTGATTCCAGAATATGCGTTCTGCTTGAAAACAGACCAAACACCTGCTCAGGCGTGTCTGGAAAAGGGACTTTGATCTGAGGAATGCAAATGATTACTCAGGAATGGCCAGCTGCTTCAAAATTCTCTGTCCACAATCGGACCCAGATGACAGCCTCACCAGAGGTGATTCACACAGTTTGGCCTGGTGATGGGCTCCAAAGGACCCCAAAACACAGGTTCTTTTTTCATTTCTTACCGGTAAATTGTGAGGACTAAAAGTCGACTTACCAGTAACCTACTAATCGCTTAGCAACCTACTAGGTGACTTAAGAGCAACTTTGATTCCATGAAGTAAAAACAGAATACCAGTAGAATTGACTGATGCCTAGGATTTGGAGTGCTAAGCACTCTGGCAACCACAGTTGTGTACAGCATTCTGACGGCACACACTCCCTGGACTCTGGAATTCCAGCAGCTTTGGAGTCTTGAGCTGATCATGGTGTTTAATTATTGCAGATACTCCTTTAAAAAAAAAAACTTATTAAAAAATTTACCATCGTAACCATTTTTAAGTGTACGATTCAGTGGTATTAAGTATATTCATATTGTTGTGTAATCATCACCACTATCCATCTCCAAAATTTTTTCATCTTGCAAAACTGAAACTCTGTACCCATGAAACAATGGCTCTCCATTCCCCCTCCCGCCAACTCCTGGTAACCATTATTCTACTTTCTGTCTCTATGAATTTGACTAGGTACATCATGTAGGTAGAAGCATACAGTATTTGTCTTTTGTGACTTTCTAATTTCACTTAGCATTATGTCCTCAAGGTTCATCTGTCTTGTAGCATGTGAGAGGATTTTCTTCCTTTTTAAGGCTGAATGATATTCTGCTGTACATGTATACCCCACTTTGTTTATCCATCTATCCATCAGTGGACACTTGGCTATTGTGAATAATGCTGCTATGAACATGGAATACACATAACGCTTTGAGACCTGACTTTTGGTTCTTTGAGTATATACCCAAAAGTGGGATTGCTGGATCATATGGTAGTTTTATTTTTTTCTTTTATTTATTTCTGTATTTATTTATTTAAACAGAGTCTCACTCTGTCGCCCAGGCTAGAGTGCCCTGGCATTATCATAGCTCACAGCAACCTCAAACTCCTGGGCTCAAGCAATCCTCCTGCCTCACCCTCCTGAGTAGCTGGAACTACAGGTGCCACCACACCTGGCTAATTTTTTCTATTTTTAGTAGGGATGGGGTCTTGCTTAGGCTGGTCTCGAACTCCAGACCTCAAGCAATCCTCCTGCCTCACCCTCCTGAGTAGCTGGAACTACAGGTGCCACCACACCTGGCTAATTTTTTCTATTTTTAGTAGGGATGGGGTCTTGCTTAGGCTGGTCTCGAACTCCAGACCTCAAGCAATCCTCCTGCCTCGGCCTCCCAGAGGGTAGTTTTACTTTTAACTTTTGAGGGACCACTGTACCATATATTGCTTTTTAAATTATCATTACTAAGAGTTCAGTACTATCCCTTAGTTACTGTTTGCATCAACAGTATTTGCCATAACTTTCTAGTAAGGAGACATTCAGACATTATGTATTGTGGTTCAAATATAAATCATTTGTACACACATTGCAAAGGTTCATGTAAACCTCCCAAATTTGCTTGGTGTCACTTCATTGTTATTTTGGGGTTATTTATTTATTTACTTTTAGAGACAGGGTCTCATTCTGTTGCCCAGGCTGGAGTGCAAGGGTGTGATCCCCATACTTTTGAACTCTTCGACTCTAATGATCCTCCAATCTCAGCCTCCCTAGTAGCTGGGACTACAGGCTGGTGCCACCACGCCTGGCTAATTTTTTAATTTTTTGTAGAGATGGGGTCTCACTACATTACCCAGGGTGGGCCTGTTGGAAGCAGAGTAGAAGAACATCAGCCTTCCCATCTACACAGTGACCAAGCTGAGCTCCATAGCCAGGGAGAGGGAAGAGACAGAGGGACATCGAGGCCCAGAGAATGATCATCCGACCATCCATCTCACATGTTCCCAAATCCATTCTGGCTGGAGAGAGTGATTCCTTCTAGTGGAGAGTTGGCAACACTATGGCTGCTGCAAACTTGAGCAGAATAAATTTCTTTGTGAACTGCAAAGTTTGACTGGAGGTCCTCTGAGATCCCTCTCAGTCCCACAAGCCTATGAATTACCAGCTTTGTTTCTCTATACTCCTAGCAATGCAGACAAATTCACTATTTGTAAGGATGCTGGAAGACATCTCTTTGCCCTGAATGCTGGCTGTCAAATGGCGAGCCAAATTCCAGCAAAACAATGACATCTGGTTAGTCTGGTGCCAGCATGGTGATTTAGATTTCACAGGTCCTGTTTTCAAGAATAATTAAGAATTTGGAGGCCGGGCGCGGTGGCTCACGCCTATAATCCTAGCACTCTGGGAGGCCGAGGCGGGCAGATCGTTTGAGCTCAGGAGTTCGAGACCAGCCTGAGCAAGAGCGAGACCCCGTCTCTACTAAAAAAATAGAAAGAAATTATCTGGACAACTAAAAATATATAGAAAAAAAAATCAGCCGGGCACAGTGGCTCATGCCTGTAGTCCCAGCTACTCGGGAGGCTAAGGCAGTAGGATCACTTGAGCCCAGGAGTTTGAGGTTGCTGTGAGCTAGGCTGACGCCACGGCACTCACTCTAGCCAGGGCAACAGAGTGAGACTCTGTCTCAAAAAAAAAAAAGAATAATTAAGAATTTGGGAGTCTGTTGTAGTGAGGTCCTCATTCTGTAAAACTCAAAAACAATTCATCCAACTGAAAGAAGGAACATTTAATTGAAAGAAAAGGGACTAGCAAGGAAGAAAAGGGCAAAAACCCTGCAGGAAAGTCTGAAAAAATCTTAAGATATATCCCAGTGTTATTTTTTATTTATTTACTTATTTATTTGAGACAAAGTCTCGCTCTGTTGTCTGGGCTACAGTGCCGTGGCTTCAGCCTAGCTCACAGCAACCTCAAACTCCTGGGCTCAAGCGATCCTCCTGCCTCAGCCTCCCAAGTAGCTGGGACTACAGGTCTGTGCCACCACAGCCGGCTAATTTTTTCTATTTTTAGTAGAGACGGGGTCTTGCTCTTGCTCAGACTGGTCTTGGAACTCCTCAGCTCAAGCGATCCTCCTGCCTCGGCCTCCCAGAGTGCTAGGATTACAGGAGTGAGCCACCAAGCCTGGCCTTGTATCCCAGTTTTAAACTGTGATGGCAAAGAAAGAAGCTTCCAACTCGATGTCCCTTAATCTTCTGGGAAATCAGTGATTTCCATAAATCAGAGTTTATGTAAGAGAGAGATGAATGAGGCCAGCTTCAATGCCAACAACAAACTCCTTAGATCTAGTTATCTGTCCCTGATCTATTTATTGAAATGCACATTGAAAACACTTTTATACATAAACCCCACCTTGTTCATTTCAGGAGCTGATGCAGAAAGGTACATGTAGTTATCTCAGAAATAAACAATTATGCAACCAAATACATTTCAAAAATTGGGCAAAACACTCATTATCCCTTCTCACATGACACTGTACTTTGAAATATTATTTTGTTGTTTCTGAAATGGGGTACGCCAATGTGTTCTTGGAGCTCTGAAGTTTTAACTACACCTACTGACTTATTTTTATTTTTTACAATAACATAGAAAATATTTTACCAGTGAGAAAAACAAAATTTAACTTTTGTGTTGATAATTCACAACCAAGGGGCATTTTCACAAAGAAGACTTTTTTCCAGGATGATGGTTTTCACATTAGAGGCTGTGATCACCAGAGGATCTGTAGCTTTATTCTCAGCATCTGTGATACTTTTTTTTTTTTCCTTTAACAGAGATTCATGTGTTTCTAAGGCTTAAAAAACACTGCTTAAGTTTAACCCTAGTTTGGGCAAAAGGATATTTAACTGCAAGCCGAAGCCACTTGTAGTTTATTTAAAAGGCTTTTTAGGAAATCATTAGGATGGTGGTCCCACTGGAATACACGCAGGCGACCAAGGCAAGGACATAGCTCATCTCCTTTCACAGGGAACGGCACCCACTGCAGACGTCACGCCCCAGAACATCTGGATCACACATTCACACCCCCTTGGAATTGTCCTATAGTCTATTAGAGAGTAAAGGAAATGCTACAATTAGAGAAATCGTGAGGTAACTTTTATCGCCTCTGGAGAGACTGGCTCAAGTCTTTCTACCCACCCAGAAGGGCTCCTAATTCACATGGGAGGGTCGCAGCCATTAGCAGCCATGAACTTGGCCAGTTGAATTATACCTGGAATGGTCAGTGGTTTTAGGAAAAAATCACTAAATAACTCCCTTTGCCTTCAGCCCGGGACCCTGGAGAACCGTACTTAAACCCCCTACTAGTTCTCACAGATCTCCTGGCTCAGGGGATCAGGATTACTGGTCTAATCAAAGGAAAAGTGCAGAGGGGGAAATGCTTGCACTGTTGTGTGCCTTTTGCAAGTATCATGTGTTTCTCCTTAAAGCTCAAGTTTTGGGGGCTTCAGACTGGAGAACATGGGAGCATATTCTGCCTGGGAACATGGATAGGTGTGGTCTGTGTGCTCACCGCAATCTTTGGCAAGAAGCCTGGGATGAATCCACTTGTGATCAGTTGTAGCTGAAGTTCATGGAAGGCAGGGCAGCAGTTTGCACTCAGCGGTGGTAATAAGTACTTGCCCTGCCTCTCTTTTGTCGTGAAGAGCAAATGAAAGTAAGCATGAGAAAGTACCTTGTGAACTACTCAGGGCTACAGGACTGGGAGCTACCAATCACAATGACATGACAGACACATGGTTTAAAGGAAAGAGCCACAGTTTTATTGTTAGAAGACCTGGGATTGGGTCTTGGTTCACTCACTAGCCGTGTGACCTTGGATGAAGCCGAGTCTTTCTATCTTTCAGAGCTTATTTTGTTAGTTTTATTTTCTTGGGGGGGGGTCCATTTGTGAAAGTGGGAATCGTCCTTGCCCTACCTACCTCACAGGGTTGTGATCATATCAAAATAGAAAACATAAGAAAGTTCTTTGTGAACTATAAAAGGACCATTCTTAGCATAGCTACAGTTTTCAGATCTCTCCACGGCCACAGTACCAACTGCCTGAAATTGGTCCCACAGACATCTCAAGCACGACAAGTCCAAATAACAATAACTCATCATTTTTCTCCCCAAACCCGTTCCTTTCCTGGGTTCTTTAGCTTGGCACCACCACTGGTGGGAGAAACATTTTAAAAGTATATGCATTGTTTTCCAACAACTATCAAATCAGGCTGTCTGAGAAACCACAGACCAAAGGACCACTAGTAAGATTTTGCAAGTTTTATAATTTACTCGTTTAGTAATTGTATCATCTCCTGCTTCTCCATAGTAACCAGCAGTGAAAGAAACCGTGTATAGAGAGCCAGGCTGTTCTCAGCAGGGAGTCCTTCTCATGTTTTTCTTTCTTCCATGTGGCTTGTTTTCCTTTCCTTTAGTAGCCACCATCACCCAGTCCATTCCTTTGGGGTTCTCTGCTTCCTAAGAGGAAACATAGGCTGGCCAACAATCAGCCTTCCTAGTATCCCTTAAAACAAAAACACACTCTTTCAATGTGGAGGATTTTTACTGTTCATCACTATGGGAAAATAGATATGGAATAAACTAAAATACCAAAATGAGGAAGTTACAAAGCTGATAAAGTTTTCACATTACTGAGCCCTCCTCCAGCTCCAAACTCACTCTGAAGTAGTAAATGTAAGTCTCTTCAGTTCTTGTTCTTGGCTTTTATTCCTGAAAGTCGTTCTTCTCAACCATCAACTCCCCCACCCCGGCATTTCCCCTAGGTGCTGGGCTCTCAGCAGGCAAGTAACTGCATCTGAGTTCTTTTTTTTTTTTTTTTGAGACAGATCTCACTCTTTTGCCCCGGCTAGAGTGAGTGCCGTGGCATAAGCCTAGCTCACAGCAACCTCAAACTCCTGGGCTCAAGTGATCCTTCTGCCTCAGCCTCCCGAGTAGCTGGGACTACAGGCATGCGCCAGCACGCTCGGCTAAATTTTTTCTATATATTTTTAGTTGTCCGATTAATTTCTTTCTATTTTTAGTAGAGACGGGGTCTCACTCTTGCTCAGGCTGGTCTCGAACTCCTGAGCTCAAACAATCCGCCCGCTTCGGCCTCCCAGAGTGCTAGGATTACAGGCGTGAGCCACCGCGTCCGGCCTGCATCTGAGTTCTTTTCGGTATTCTCAGCGCTTAGCACAGAGCCTGGCACATAGACTAACATAGATGGAGCACTTGCTATGTGCCAAGTACTGTATGAAGCCTTTACATAGACTTTCTCATTTATTCCTCAGATGATCCTTTGAGTTAGTTACTATTAATACTATGTCCCCATTTTAGAAAAAATGAAACTGAGGCACAGAGAGGTGAAGTAAGTCGGCCAAGGACACACAGCTGGTAAGTGGCAGAGCTGAGATTCAATCTCAGGCAGTGTGACTCTAGAGCCCATATTCTTACCCACAATGGTGGACATTTAATACATTGGCTGAATGTATTAAAAGAATTCTTTTTCTCACCTCCCACTCCATGACACCCTTTTCCTTGTTTCTCTAAAATGTCCCTTCTTCACCTCAGTCCTGTCCTTTCCCTAAACCCTCAACTATTACTTGCATTTTACAATAGCCTGATAATTGCTCTTCACTGGACTTAACTTTGAGTCTCAGTGCCTGTTGAGAATTTCATTGACGAAAGCTATATAGGTATGTACCCAGATTAACAACCACATACACAAAATTTTGTACAATCCTGGGAGGGGGAGGAGCACAGATCATCTAAAACCCATCCAAGAACCATTAGGTTGCCTTCCTATTGTTTCAGGAGGTGACGGCGGTGGGAGTGTGAAAGTTGAAATTCCTTTGCAAGACTTAACAGGCCAAGTCTACTTTTCTAGCCTCATCTCCAGTCACACACCCTAAATTTAGGGCTTAAGCAAACAGGGCAAACACATTCACATCTCTCCGCATTTTCTTTTGAAGTTCTTGCTACTTGGAATACTCCACCCCTACTTGATGATGCATTTTTCATCAGAGTCCAGTTCGAACGTTACTGCTCAGAAGCCTCGACACCCCAATCCCTCCTTCTCTGTTAGTAAAACGGAATGACTCCCTCATCTGTGTCTATAACACTGTTTATACCTGTGATAGCATTTAACTCATCGTTAGTTGCTAAGGAGCCTGTCCAGAGCTGGGATATGTGTATCATTTATCATTGTACCCCCGATATTCTAGAGCGTGCACGACATAGTACGTGCTCACAGGATTTACTTAGTTTTTGGGTAGCTCGGTTTACATTCTGAACCAGAGAGTTGACAGGTTTGGAGAAGGCTAACTAACATACGTAAGGAGAGTGCTGAGCGATCACAGTCCTGCTTGGCAGAGGGGGAGGGTGAAACCAGCCTAAGACAGTGCGAGAGTGTGACCAGTCTTTGAGAGCGAAGGCGAAAGTTCGCGTTGCTCGCAGGCGGCCGGATGACGACAGCGCCCGCAATCAGATGTGTCCCGGGGTCACCAGGAAGGAGCGCGCGCTGCACTGTGGGATCGGTGCGACGGTCGGCCGCACTGCACGCCGGGATTTGTAGTCCCGTCCCTTGCCAGGACCCTCAAGTCACTTACGTTCGTCTATGTTCAACCACGTCCTCACACGGATGAAGTCCAGTCTTTAGTCGTTTAGCACAGAATGGAGAGGTTCTCCAGGGTAAGTCTATCTAATACTACTCTTTAGAGAGAGCCCTGTTTCGGCGATGGCTGTCAGGAAGGCGCACTGGGCGCAGCTGCGCGTGCGCAACGCTTGCGCCTTGGAGCGCGCGCCAGTCGCCCCGCGAGGCAGACTCGAGCCGGGCGGCGCAGGCGCAGTGTCCCCGGGCCAAGATGGCGGCGCGGTGTTCCACACGCTGGTTGCTGGTGGCAGCGGGGACCCCCCGGCTGCCGGCTGCAGCGGGGAGAGGGGCCCGGCCGCTCAGGGAGGGCGTGGTGGGGGCGTCCCTGGGCCGCAAGCAGAGCGTCACTGCCTTCTCGCCTTCCCTGGGCGCTCGTGGTCCTTGGGCTCTGCTGACATTGAGACCCGGTGTCAGCCTCACAGGTGAGGGCCGGCTTCAGCGCCTTAGTGGCGGCTTCAGGGCCTAGAAGGGAGTGACTCCTCTCTCTGGCTATCACTACGGGGGTGGCGAGGTGGAGGGTGTCTTCCGACGCGCATGCGGAATTGCTGGAGAGACAGGCAAACAGGAGGCAGAGAGGCCCAAGTGGCTACTCAGAAGACGTCAAGTGAGGGAGAGCTGCGTGGACCCCGGGCGGCTGTGGTGAATCGCCCCGCAGGCCGTGAACCTTCACCTCTCTGTTAACGTTTCTGGAAGCCGCTGTTCTTTTGCCCCGTTCCTTTCCCATTTCTCCTTCTAGGCTGTAGCGTAAGGGAAGCGGTAACTGCCTTCGGTGAGTGCTATGCACTTTGTGCCTTGTCTCACTTGATGGTAACAACAACCGTGCAAGATGCCAGTCATCATCCCTATTTTAAAGAATGGGAAACTGAAGATCTGACAGAGAAATTGACCGGCCCAAGGTCATAAAGTTAGATCAGAAGCGTTGTCTCAAAACCGGAGCTGTCATTTCATAGCTTACTCTTTCCACCACATGGTGCAAATTGAAGGGCACAGTCATTTTTAGAAGTTCTTAAATCGGTAATTGTAATAATGATACAGCCTAACATTTATCGTGCACTTACTATTTACCAGGCATGCTTTATCTCCTTACATCACATTGCCACGTGAAAGGCACTGTTATTAGTCCATTTTATAAAGAAACCGAGGCTTCAATGTTAAACAACTTATATAATAATAGAATGTCATAAAGTGGTAGAGCCTTGGTTTGAAAACTGCTGCCCTCTTAATTGCTGGAGGTGATGTTGAATTATGTATAAAGCCTTGAAGTGCTTAGCCATAAAGTTTTCATATGCTATATGTTGGGTGACTTCCATTTTAGTGAGAGAAGAAAGGAAACCTGCCATGTGCCTGAGTTGTGTTAGTTGTTTTGTGTCCCATAGAATTTGTGCCAGTGATACTTATCAGTACATTTATAAAGATTAATTAATTAAAGGGCCCTGACAAGATAATTTACACAAGCTAACTTCCTATTGGGATCCAGTTTTGTAATGCTTACGTAATAGGCAGTCACTAAAGTATCAGTGATTTGCAGTGTAAAGAGCCTGGGCTTCAGGGGTGAGCAGACTTGCTTTCACCAGTGTGTGTGACCTGGGTGTATTATTTAACCCCTTTGAGCTTCTCTTTCCTTAACCATGAGCATTCATTCATTCATTCATTCATTCACAGGTACTTATTGAGGCCTATTTTATGCCAGCCACCACTCTAGGCATTGAGAACACAACAGCAGAGAACAAAGAGATTGGATGTGGGTTTGGTCAAGTGAATGTATTTTTTCCCCCCTAACCACTAGACAGGCAAATGAACGTATTTTTAAATTCTGTTCCTGCCATCTATATTCCTCATGGATGGAGCAATAGTCTGTTCAGTAGTCTGTCCAGGTTTCCTCAGGATTATTTGGAGAGATGTCATACTATATTTCTCAATAAGAGCAAAAGTGGCCATTTTTAGGGCTTGCTAACACTTTCTGATGTTAAGGTTGTTTTAAATAGAATTTGGCTGCATCTTTTTGTTCAAGTATTAATTCCTTAGGTGACTTGTTTTCTTAAGCTAAATTTGTTCATATTAAATCTGTACAAGTTTCAGAAGCATTTTTTATTATTGTGTCTGTATGTGAGAGAAAGACAGGCAGGCACTAAATATTAAGCCTTATGTGGGGCCATTACTAAGGAACTGCAGTCAGCTATCCTTTTCTCCAAGTGAGCCCATAGCTTGCTGTGGGCGTATTTTGTATCATGTGATACACACGTGTGAGAGGCAGCATCCTTCAAGGTGCACTCTATTAGTTATCACATCTAAAATCATCAACTGAGCTCTCAAACGCTGGTCTACAATCTCATCTCAAATCTAGCCGTACAATTAGACAACATAAAAACAACACTTTAGGCTGAGCATGGGGGCTCATGCCTGTAATCCTAGCACTTTGGGAGGCTGAGATAGGAGGATTGCTTGAGCCCAGGAGTTCAAGAGCAGCCTGAGCAACATAGCAATTCCACATCTTTACAAAAAATAGAAAAATTAGCTGGGTATGGAGGCTTATACCTGTAGTCCCAGCTACTTGAGAGGCTGAAGCAGGAGGATTGCGTGAGCCCAGGACTTTGAGGTTGCAGTGAGTTATGATGACACCACTGCACTCTAGCCCAGGTGACAGAGCCAGACCCTGTCTTAAAACAAAACAAAACAAAACAAAAAAACTATTTTAAATCTGACTTTTTTTCCAAGCAGAAAGAAGGCAGTTTTTGACGCTGGGTTGGCCATTCTTGGAATGACCAGGAGGCTAATACTCTGGGTTCTAGAAAGGGCTAGACATTTATTTGTCATGTCTTGAGGAAAAAATTGCCTATTAAATGAACTTTTCCTAATTATTGCTAGTCATTGATGCCTTTTGGATAATGTCAAAAGTCATCAAACTTTTAATAGTTAAATGTAATTTGTGTTTATCCATATCAGTTTTACACATTACTGTCTCCCATTCTAACTCAAGTTCAAGTCCTCTGCCCAAAATATTGAAGCCGTTGCTGCTACGGGCAACTACCAGCCTCAGCCTTCTGGCTTTGGAAGTATAGTGACAGGCTAGACCAGGCCACAGTAACCCCACACTTCTGAGAAAAGAGGGGGTTGAGTACAGACTCATTAATAAATCAGACTTAGTGTCTTCTCAGGTCTGACTGAAGAAACACAATGGTGATCTCCTAACCCCTGCCACTTCCGGTTTGCTTTTTATATTCCATGAGTATTGAGTATACCAGAAACATCCATTTACTTCCTATTTCTGCTCTTAATCATTCTGACCATCCCTACTTGCTCTCCTTTCTGATTATCCCTTATCTTGCCTCCTTGCCTGTGCTCTGATTGTATTTTGTACTCATTAACTTTGAGTAGTCTCCCAATCCTGGATATGCAAACCCAATCAGTTCCCTGTTTTAACACTTACAGTGGCTCCCTATTGCCTTCAGGATAAAATCCAGACTCCTTAGCATAGCTCGAAGGCCCTTCTGCTTATCCCTAGGTGTCATTAAGCATTATCATCTCTAGCCACCACTGCTACCTGCACCCCCCACATACATTGTCTCTAGTTGTATCTGAAGTTCCTAAATGCACAAGGTACTTACTTATTATTTATTTTCATGTGAACCTCCCCAAACCGAAGCTGTCATGTAATTTAGCAGCCAAACAGGGCACTTTTGAAAGTGAAAGGAGATGCTATCACAAATTACACCAGGGCCTCAGGTGTAAATCTGGATGAATTCACTCCTCTTGAGCCTAGCCAACTTCTATAGCTTAACCTCAGATTACCTAGTAGCCCTTCCCTGACCTTCTTAGACTGGGTTGCCAGTGGTTCTCAGCATAGGACATTTTACCCCCTGGGGCACATTTGGCAGTGTTTGGAGATACTGGTTTTGGTTGCCAACTTGATGGGGGAGGCCTTCTGAGTTTCTGATACATGTCTGGGGTGGGGCCTGAAAATGTGCATTTTCAACAAGGTAATGGTGCTGCTGGTCCAGGGACTGCAGTCTGAGAGCCACTTTGTAAGCAGATCCCCAAGGCTGTATGAGAAGGAAAAGAATGTGGGGAACTGTCAAGCATTAAGTGAGACAGAAGCACATGAAAATACCCAGCATGCTTAGGCAGTGTAAGAGGGGAGTTGAATTCCACTTTAGTCATCTCCTAGTCTGGAGGAGCATTCCTTTAGTGGTGTGGTGAGGCTACACTGGTAGCATAATCCAGCAGAATCAGTAGTTTCATATTACTTACGTAACGGCAGCTTTAGCAATTTTGAAGTGCAGTGAGTTTGGTCTGCAGGGGGCTTGGAGGGGAACAGACCCTAAAGGTGTGGACTATTTGTTCCTTCATAGGTATGTTCTGGCTGCTCATATACTCACAATTTCCTTTTGTTGAGCACATTCCCAGAGTGATTTTCTTTCTTTTATTTTTCCTTTTTAGGAACAAAAAGTTACGCTTTTGTTTGTACTGCCTTCTTCCACACGAGCGCCCCTTTGGCAAAAGAAGATTATTACCAGATATTAGGAGTGCCCCGAAATGCCAGCCAGAAAGAGATCAAGAAAGCCTATTACCAGGTCTGTATGGGAGTCAGATTTTAGCAACAAGATTGTGGAAGGAATGCTGTTGGTGGAAGGTGATCCTGCTCAGTACAACGCACGTGCCCACGTGGCTAGGCGCACGCAGCTGATAGCAGAGCACGAGGTGGGAAAGGTGGACCCGGCTGGATCGTGTTATTCAGTGCACCAGCCACGGCGATTAATGCTTCAGGAAAAAAATGGAGATTCCAAACCGGAGATTTTAAAGTTTTTTTTCCAGAGGTGGTTTTGTAATTAAATTTATTCTCTACCTCCTGAGTTGGTAGGTATACTGGTCTAAGTTTTAGGTGGTCTTTCTTTGCATTCAGATAAAAGTTTATGAGTTTAGAATTATTTCCTTTCTTAACCCAGAAAACGTGAGATTCCCATTGTCATATCCCAGAATGTATCAGGGCTAGCTAAAGTGGTTTGTGGGATGTCCAGACCAACGGTTCCCATATCTGTGGTTTGCTCCAGCCAATAAAATATATATCGGGGGTACCAATGTAGGATTGACAGCTTTTTGTAAGTGCGCAGTTTGCTGGAGTTGTGCAGCCAACACCACAGTCAATTTTAGAATATTTTAATCACCTAAAAGAAACCCTGTACCCATGAGCACTTACTCCCCATTGTCCTCTCAGTCCCTGGCAGGTACTAATCTACTTTCTGTCTCTATGGATTTGCCTGTTCTGGATCTTTCCTATAAATGGAATCATACAGTATGTGGCCTTTTGTGACTGGCTTCTTTCACTGAACATAATGTTTCCAAGGTTCATCCATCTTGCAGCACGTGCCATGGCTTCATTCCTTTTTATGGTCAAATAATATTCCATTGTGTGGCTAGATAGGCCATGTTTTGTTTATTCACCATTTGATGGACATTTGGATATTTTCTACTGTTTGGCTATTGTGAACAGTACTGCTATAAACATTCCTGTATAAGTTTTTGTGTAGATATATGATGTTTTCATTTTTCTTGGATATATACTTAGGAGTATAGTTGCTGGGTCATACAGTAACTGGATGTTTTACCTTTTGGAACTGCCAGCCTTTTTCAAAGCAGCCACACCATTTCACATTCTTTTTTTGAGACAAGGTCTTGCTCTGTCACCCAGGCTGGAGTGCAGTGGCATGATCATAGCTCATTAGCTCACTTCAGCCTCAAACTCCTGGGCTGAAACAATCCTCCCACCTCAGCCTCCCAAGTAACTGGGACTACAGGCACACACCACCATGTCTAGTTAATTTTTAAATTTTTCTGTAGAGACAGAGTGTTTCTGGCAACTTCTGTCGGCATCCTTATTCCTCCTGGAAACCAGAGTTGGGTGGTACGTGACCAAGTGTGGTTTGTTTTGTTTTGTTTTGTTGCAGGTTTAGTGGCTTTGTATTGCTTGCTTTTGCTATTGGGGAAGATTGAGAGTTAGCTGTTAGTCTTGATTCTTAGCATAAAGAAAGGACTTTATAGGGACATGGTATCTAGTCTCAGTTATTTGCTAGGCTGCTTTGTAGAAGGGGAATTAAAGATACCTGTAACACCACAAGTAGAGGCAGTTCAGCTCACTCTGGCGAAGAGCTTCCTAACAAGGAAGGCTGATGGTCGGGGTACCCTCCACCATGGGTGGTCGTGAGCTCCCGTCACTGGAAATAATCCACTGATGGTTCTCAAACTTGGGTAATATACTGATCCCCTTTTAAACAACAATTTCATGTACTAGACGATGTTGTTTGCCTAAAATCAGCTTGTTCCTCATGTCATAGTGACTGTACCTGTGTCTCCAACTTAGGACTTTTTGAGTTGGTCCCATCCATGCACCCCTTTGATGTCTCAATTCACCTAGTACTTTTCTGATGTCAGACGGGATCGGGCACATTCAGGGCGGTGTGGCCGTAGACACTTTTCTGAATTTCAATTCCTTTGCATTCTTAGTTTGTACCATGAGCCATGACATCATTTTGTCTTTGCTTGACACAAATGTATTATTTATGCGTGATGTCTCTCTTTATGCTTTTCACATAAGCCATGGGCACAGTGGCTTACGTGCAAGCTCTGAAGTTGCCTGCAGTGCTGTATTTTAAATTGGGCATCCTGGCAACTTGGGGTATACTGATATCAGTAATTTGTGCTTATCATTGAAATTTTAATTCCTGTTAGAACCTGTTAGGTGCCCTCACCCCTCATCCCCCAGATGTGTTCTTATGCTCCCTATTAAGTTCCAACAATAGGTGATGTTGAATATGTGCCTTGCCTTGTGTGAGCTTTTTGTTTTTATCTGTGTTACTTCATTTTATTCTCACCACAACCAGGTGAGGTAGGTGCCATTATTGTTGCAGATGAGGAACTGGCTACAGAGGTGTAGGATCATGCCCAAGGTCTCAGAGTTAACAAATGGTGGATCGGGGTGCTCTGACCCCACCGTTAGCCTAACTGCAGCTGAGGTGGACAGCTAGCTGATGGCAGGGTCAGGCCAGGTGGCTGCCTGTCACTTTCGGCTTCACGATTCTGGTGATGCAGAGACTGGGAAGGCGTCAGGAGGAGGCACAAACACAGCAGATACCTACAGGGCCCTCGGCACAGCCAGACGTTTTGGAGCTGCTCAGCACACGTGTGCTCTGGACAGCCAAGGGAGATTTATTTTGCCTTTTTAACATTTAAAGCTATGTTTTGAATAGGTAATACATCCCCTTTGTTCAGAATTCAGAAGTACGAAGGCACATACAGTGAAAAGTCTTCCTCCTTCCCATTCATACTCATCCCTCCTGTAGCAATCAGTGTTATTTATTTTTTTTGAGACTGAGTCTCACTCTGTTGCCCGGGCTAGAGTGTTGTGGCGTCATCCTAACTCACAGCAACCTCAAATTCCTGGGCTCAAGCCATCCTCCTGCCTCAGCCTCCCGAGTAGCTGGGACTACAGGCATGCGCCACCATGCCTGGCTAATTTTTTTCTATATATTTTTAGTTGTCCGATTAATTTCTTTCTATTTTTAGTAGAGACAATATCTCGCTTTTGCTCATGCTGGTCTTGAATTCCTGAGCTCAAACGATCCTCCCGCCTCAGCCTCCCAGAGTGCTAGGATTACAGGCGTGAGCCACCATGCCTGCCCCTTCCAAAAATAATTTATACAGCAGAGACATCTATTTACCTATCCGGTCATTTTCTCCCCTTTTGACATCAATGTTAATATAACAGACACTCGGTTTTGCACCTTGCTTTCACAAGGTGCCCAAGTTCTAAAGGATTAGTCATTATAATATTTATTTATTTTTTAGAGACAGTTTTTCTCTCTGTTGCCCAGGCTGAGTGTGGTGGCATAGCTCTCTGCAGCCTAGAACCCCTGGGCTCAAGCGACCCTCCTGCTTCAGTCTCCCAAAGTGCTAGGATCACAGGTGTGAGCCACCGTGCCTGGCCTGGTCATTATTTTTGCTAGAGACTTGTTGTGGTTGAAAAGTTGAAAAATGTGTACGTAACATCAGATTTGACAAAATGATTTATTTTAAAGTCTTAAATTTTGTTTTATGAATTGCTGTTGGTTGCTAAGTCTTAAGAGAGACAACTGTTACAAAGGAGACATAATTGTGACTGATATTTGGGGTTCTGTGTCCAAAGTAATTTACCATTTTTTCCCTTAGCTTGCCAAGAAATATCATCCTGACACAAATAAGGATGATCCCAAAGCCAAGGAGAAGTTCTCCCAGCTGGCAGAGGCCTATGAGGTAATATGACTGATGTCTGTGCAGTCACCGTCATCCAGCTGTGTGCATGAATCAGAGTTTGCATTGCAGCGTAGGACAGCCTGGCATATGTGCTATGTGAAGGCTGTGTCCTTGCACCGTATCACCTTGTAAAAAAAAGATTCCAAGGTCTACTAACTTGGAATCTCAAGAAGAGCATGATCCTATAATCTATACCAATAAAGCTCCCCAGGTAATTCAGACTGTAGCTGGGCTTGGGAACTCTGGGTTGCATTAATTAATTCAGCCCTTATTTGATAACAACTCCCTCCCCTTCGGGGCATTGCCACCTGTTAGGGATGGCGGCTGTTGTAAAAGTAGAAGCCCTTCATTGCCCCGGAAGAGTTTACAGTGTAATCAGAGGACAAAGCTTACATCTATAAAACAACTAGGGACCGATTCCAGAGTTATCTGAAAGTGGACCTTCCTCCCTGACTTCGACCATCATGAAGGGGTTCAGGATATATAGGAGCTCATAGATCCACAGGAATAGACAGCCACATGTAAGGACAGCCTCAACTCAGTAAATCTTTTTTTTTTTTAAGAGACAGGATCTGGCTCTGTCACCCAGGCTAGAGTGTAGTGGCGCAATCCAAGCTCATTGCAGCCTTGAACTCCTGGGCTCAAGCGATTCTCCTGCCTCAGCCTTCCAAGTAGCTGGGACCACAGGCGTGTACCACTGCGCCTGGCTAATTTTTTAATTTTTTATAGAGACGAGGTCTTGCTGTGTTGCCTAGGCTGGCCTTGAACTTCTGGGCTCGAGTGATCCTCCCACCTCAGCCATTACAGGCATGAGCCACTGCACCCAGCCTCGTGAGACTTATAAAACGTACTTCAGGCCCTACGCTTAGAGTTCACTGCAGTCATCTTGCTCCTCTTGTAGGTGCTAAAGTCGCAGTGCAATCCTATCCCAGGGAACCGCATAGAATATTTTTGCACACAGGAACACTTGGCAACATTGTGACTGCTCACTTGGGGTGAACTCTCTTGTCTGTTCCTGGGCCTCCAAATGTCTGATGGCTCTGCCTTTTGTAGGTTTTGAGTGATGAAGTAAAGAGGAAGCAGTACGATGCCTATGGCTCTGCTGGCTTTGATCCTGGTGCCAGCAGCTCTGGGCAGAGCTACTGGAGGGGAGGCCCCACTGTGGACCCTGAGGAGCTGTTCAGGAAGATCTTCGGGGAGTTTACATCATCCTCATTTGGAGATTTCCAGAGTGTGTTTGATCAGCCTCAGGAAGTAAGTTCCTCGTTTTGAAGAATTATTCAAATTTTAGGCTGTTAAATATGATGCAAAGAGAGATTTTTATCAGTTTCTGTTTCTCAGAGAGGCAAAAAGCAGCTTAAATGAACTGATCTGGAGGCAGCCATTTTGATAGAAAATAATTTCAGCATTTGAAAAATCCTATAGGTAATAATAAGTATAACCATTGTGTCTGTGTTCTTAACAATTGTTTAATCAGGCAACATCTCAGGCTTTCAGAGTCCATAATTAGAGTATGAGTCTTTTATCTAATGCCTGCTCTACATCATTCTAGGAAGAAGACACTGCCAATCCTCTTTCTTT